AATAAACTTTATTCTTAAGGAGATAAACGTTTGGCACTCTATGGCCAAACACTCGAGAGTTGCTAGTCTATCTCTTTCCTAAGCATCTTGTGTTGGGGGTTGCAGACTCCTCAAAAGCCAAATCACTTTTTAGTATTTTTATAAATTTATTTTAAAAAATAACAATTGCAATGACATCAATGATCAATCACCTGTACTCCCCCTACTGGTGGGGGGAAAAAACCTATACAGTTGAGTCCCAAAGGAAAATCAAAACATTATTAGTATCAGGCACCCTATAGTCAGAAAATGCTCTGTTGGTCCAGTGGTATAGACACTGACATGTTCAATGTACCAGTGCAATTAAAATATATACATTTACAATTATCCTGCAAAAAGAAAGCACTCAAGAAGTGACATAACTAGCATTAAACCAATTATTCATTCATCCATTCGCTCTGCATCTGTGAAGTTACACTACAGTCATAAAGAAAAATGAGTAAAATACTAGTAACAAAAATATTCAAACATCAATACCCTGCCCCCACTTTGTGGGCTATTATAGTGTGTTAAAATGACCACAAAAGTGTCATGAGCTATCTGAAATGCAATGACAAAATGACAACTGAAGCATTTCAATTCAAACAAAATTCAAACTCCCCCCGCCAAAAGAAATTCAGCAACAATGAGGTTGGTATTACTATGTACAAACTTATAGACACAAATAAATAGCATCTTAGAACTGTTGGTGGCTTAAACACTAAAAAGTAGGTTTGAGGAATTTCTTTCTGAACTCTGCATCTTGGACTTCTAAACTAAACAAGGAATATAAATTCCTCAGTGTTTTTAGTAATCTAGCATCTGAAAAACTTTACCGAATAAAGTTAATATCTGAAACACTTGTAAAGAGCCAGAAGTTTCTAGCGAGCTTACCAAAGGATCAGCCCTTTGGCTATCTGGAAGCCAGGACAGATTATTAAATCCCCCAGACTAGGAAGATTTCACTTCCTGTTTCCTTTGCATAGCTCTGTACCTCTATTTCTACCATAACAGTGATCTCCCTTTATGATGTTTTTGTTTGGGGGTTTAACTTCTTTTCTGTTCTTAATATATTTAGACTGAAGTCAAAGAAGAAAGGGCCAATCTTTATCCTTGGTATTTAAATCAACCCCGAATGTTCTTCAGAAGAATTACTGACTAGGTTTTCCTTCTTTGTTTCCAGAGAAGGCAGCCAACTCTTCTAAAATATCATCTTAGTTCTTCCAGGGTTCAACATCTAGAAAAGAAATACATTTCTGAGGCACAACCCATTCTGGGAACTACTGCCCAGTTCCTGACCCTGCAGGCATCTCTATTTCCAGTTCTGCAGCTTACTTCCACAGGATGGATGCAATGTGAAAACCTTTCTGGGCAAGGCCTATGGAGAAAGGGAAAACAAATGAAAACTGGCACCAAAGAATCAGCTGCCATGGGAAGAATGAGAATGTTCACTCTCTGGGGCCAGCACAATGTGTGTGGTAAGAGTGAAGCCAATATCCGCCTCAAGCTGTAGCAGGTAATCTGGACTATGTCCAGGACAGCGTGATTAAGCAGTGCTTTCCAGAAATTGTCAAGGACCAAATCTCAGACATCTCCCTTTCAGTGCTTGTTAAAAGTTTTAGTGTAAATGTGAATTAGTCTCTTTATCTTAATAAGCTATCCCAGGTATCCATCCACTGGAGAATCATGCTCTATGACAACATATGGGTATATGCACTACTCTTTCTCTCCTCCTAGGCTGACAATTCCCCAAATGCTGTCACGAAGCCTATGATTGAAAATCACTAGTTTGGCTCTCTGTTTAGGAGTTACTACAAATGTCCTCAGCTCTTCAGCACAGAAGTTGTTGAACAGTTTTGTTCTCTTAGTAAAGGCAGTTTCAAAGTCCAATACCCTTCTAAATTCTTAGAAGTAGCCACAGCAAGAACCACGGTCCAGGTGACCTGTCAACAGAGGGACAAGCAGAGCACAACTTTTCAAAGCTAAAAAAAAAAAAAAAAGAGATCCAGCAATGTATATTTTTAGTGCTCCAGTCTTTTATCATTCTATCCCCAGTTAGCTTTTTCTTGGTTGGAGTCCAAAGATACCAACCTACCATCTGGGCAGACAGAAATTCTTATTATTACCACAGATTGGATGAATGTATCTCAGAGAATTTATTGGATGGAACTTCCCCGCCTGGAAGCCATCTCTGAATATAAAGTGTCCATTTAGTCAGCCAGGGATCCCTGACCAGAGGGATGGATGCTGTCTAAATTCCATGGGAAGGAGTAGGCTGAGAGGCTTCTCTGATTGTAGTTCGGTTGAGAAGGTTGTTCTTCCTTGCTGAGGTGGCTGGCTGGCTTTACCAGTCAATATAAGTGCTTGTGTCCTGCTCGGCCGGCACGTGTCTCCTTGCATCATCCTAATCCACGAAATATCAATGTCATCAACAGTCTGAAATAGGTCCTGACTGAAAGAGTAAGACAAAGGCTTGCAACTTCAATTTGCCAGACATCACTGCAATTATAATACTGAGCCACTTATTAAAAACTAAGTGGTTTCTGTCCTGTAGAAAAGGGCAGAGTGTGATCGTCAGTGTCCCATTGGAAGAGCTGATCAATTTCCTGGAACAGTGGGAAACAGTGGCAAGGAACAGATCTTGATCAGTTCCATCACATGGCCTGGGGTTAGGACACTCGGATGATCTGTGTCATAGCTTCTTCATCAGCTTGGTTTGGATCCTAGAGACAAAGATGGCAAAATAATGATTAAAGTCTTTTGCAAAAGCAAGAGGGAACTCCTGGCTCTCAATACTTCTCCTCAACAGAAGAAACACAACTTTGCCAAGTAAATCAAAGGCCTGTAATGCATCTAAATCTGCACACATGGCTAAAAAGTACAGCCTCTTTAGGCAAGAAGAGACAATAAACTTTATTCTTAAGGAGATAAACGTTTGGCACTCTATGGCCAAACACTCGAGAGTTGCTAGTCTATCTCTTTCCTAAGCATCTTGTGTTGTACTCTACCCTTAAGGGGTTAAGGGTATTCAGGTGGCTAAGAAAAAGATCCAGAGAAACCATGTCATGCTGTATTTTTGTAATTATTTTCTGATCATCACATTTGAATACTGAGTACTTGGCAGGGTTGGAAAGAACATTAGAATCTACACACTTTAATGCACTCATTTTGTAGACAAATCTGAAGCCTAGATGGGTGATCTGCCTGGACTAGAGTTAGAAAGTTATTCAGGAGTCCAGCAAGAGCTAACTGCCAAATCGCTTGACTTCTTTCCACTAAACTCCGTGTGCTGCTTCTCACTTAAGACCTGCAGTATTAATACCAGTATCAGCCCTTGGAGGCTTTTCCAACACTCCACAAGAACCACCTTTAGTTTCCCCATACCAAGGCCCTGAGACCTCAGTAGGCAAGATCGGAGAAGCTGAAAAATCCTAGAGATGGAAGGACTGGAGCTAGGTCTTGAGTAATGAGCAAGAACAATAATTAGCATCTACTACACACTCACCATGCACTAGGTACAGCACTAAGTAGGTGCTCAATGTGAATTATTGCATGAAATCCCTGCAACATTTCCGTTAAATATCCAACAGTATTCCATTTTACAGATAAAGATAAAAGTACTCCTCTTTCAGCCTTTATCTATAAAATATTTACCTATAAAATAAAGGCTAAAAGATACCCAGTAAATTGACCAATGTCATATTGTTAGCAAACATAATTAGCAGAGTTCCTAGGACTACACACTCCTAGAGCTGGCAGACCACACTCACACTGCATGACAGAATAGCAGTGACAGCAATGAGAAAGGAGAGGCTCTCACACTATCAGTGAGGACTAATAGCATTGGAAGAGTTGTTAGTGCTTGTTGGGGCTCAGAAACTGATACCCCAAAATATGGTACTTTGACATGCTGAAGCGAAGAAAAAGCTGTAAGGTCTCTCTGACACCCAACCTCCCCCAATCTCTCAATCTTCTTTTTTTCCCAAAGCACAGGATGAATTTGTTCTCTGAAGTTCCTTATCTGCCTATCATCTGGACCTGCCAAAGAAGAAAACAATTACTTCTGGTCCTTTCCCTGAGTTTTCATTAAATGAACTTATATCACAGGAACAAAGACTGAAGTTTGTCAACAAACTTGGGACAGACTTTTGTTACAAACAATAGTCTGCTCTGTGGGCCTAATAGACTTTTGTTTCAGGCCACTGTATGTTAATCACAATAAATTTCCATAAAAATCATTTACTACCTCCCTAAAATCATCCAGATTTCCCCATCTCCCTTTCCCCTAAGAAGGGTATATAATCATCTGTACCTCATTGGGTTACTGGTTGATCATTCTCCTATAATGCACCTGTGCTATACACTTTAACATAAACTCATGCTTTTTCACCAATTAATCTGCCTTTTGTGAATTGGTTTTTCAGCAAAGCTTCAGAAGGAGAAGGGGAAGTTTTTTCCCTTGACCCCTACATGGTCTAGTGTGAGGACACTGAGGAAACCTGGTTAGATTTGTTTAGAGGGGTAATGAGGCAAAGGTGCTTAGAAGTTATAAAGAAATCGTCTGAGATTGTATGCAGTTAAGAAATATGGAACTAGCATGCATCATTGAGCAGGGGACTGACAGGATTAAAAAAAACACACTATCTAATAAAGACTGATCTGGCAGTACTGCATAAAGTCAATTAGTGGAGATTAATTGCGAAGATACTGCAATAGTGCAAGTGGAATGTGATGTTCATGCAGAATGAAGTTATCAATATATGGGAGGAATCTATTAATTCCACAAACATTTACTGAAAGCTTGTTCAGAACTGGACACTAAATCCAATAAACACAACTAAGTTAGTACTTAAACACAACTAACTTACTTAAATAGTACTAAGTCCAGTAAATACAACAGAGAACAAAACAATCCTCTAGCCCCAACACAGCTTATAGTCTAGTGAAGAAAACAATTTTGAACAATTAAACACAACCATTCACTATTACACTCTAAAGAAAAGGAAGATGCTGTAAGAAAATAGGAAGATAGAAGAGACATACTTTATTTATATAGAGTGGGGTAGGCACCGCCTCTTAGGTTTACACCAAGACCTAAAAGATAAGAGAGAGAGCGCCATGCAAAGAGATGGAATGAAGGCATTACAGACTAGAAATTGTTAAGGACAAAGGCCCATGGCTGGAAACAGAGCATTGGACAGACAGCAAGAAGCAGGAGGAAATGAATCTAGAAGTAGACAGGAGCTGGAGCATGCAAGCCTTGAGGGCCATGGCAAGAACTTTGGATTTCAGTCCAAGTGCAAATGGGAGAGGGTGGGGGCTGAAGGAGCTTGAGGAGAACAGTGACGTGACAGGATGCACAGTTTAAAAAGATCACACTAAGATGTGTAGAATGGACTAGAGGGGGGACAAGAGTGGAAGAGGGGAGACCAATTAGGCAACTGGTTTCTTAATCTAAGCCAAAGAAGAGAGGCTTAAGCCAGGCCGTCAGCTGGGAGGGAAAAAATAAACTAACAAATTATATTTTAGAGATAAAAACCAAGAGGACTTGTTCAAGAATCGGACAGTTCTAGCTTTAGGAACTGGGTGGATAGACATGTCACTTGTTGAGATATGTGCTTATGTATAATAAATAAATAAATCAAGAGTTCTGTTTTGGATTTACTGACTTAGAAATGCTTGTAAGACGATTAGTGGAATTAGATGGATGAACCAGTATAGAGTAAATTCTGGAGTTATACTAACTGGGTTTGAATTTCAGTTGCATTATTTTACTAAGTACTTTACCTTGGGCAAATTACTTAATCTCTCTAAACCTCAGATTCAATTGTAAAATGGAGATGATAATTTTTTTTTCCCCATGAGAACCAAGTAAATTCAGAGATGATAATTCTTATCTCATGGGGCTTGAAGGTGCTGTGAAGATTCAATAAAAAAAAAAAAATGTTTGAAAAATTTCTTAATGCCTCTCACATAAGTTTCAGCTGCTGCTGTTACTTTTACACTAAGAAATAGTAAAACTTGTTCCTTGAAAATTAAGAAAAGAGAGATTTTTAAGAAGGAATTAATAGTAATAATTTTCAAAGGTGAAGAAGGAAGAAAGGCCACTGAATTAAGAACCTTTAGTGCTTTTAAGACCAAAGGGAATCTAAAGAGATAAAATACTACATCCAGTTTAGAGAATGTGATTAGTCCCCGAGTGTGAAAATAGCAAGAGGACACTGCTGAAGGCTTTAACCTTAAAAAAAAAAAAAAAAAAAAAGTAATATAATAATAAAGAGAATAAAAGGTATAAATCTTCTTACCTGCATATGAGGACTATCTTTTTCCTTTGGAGAGAAAAATCGCCCACCTTCACCACGCTTCCGTGCCATGGCATGACGGTGCCGAGACTCATGCAGGTATTTCTACAACAACAGAAATAAAACCATTTAAATACTAGCCAGAACCAGAATAGTTATTTAATGCAAAATTTCATCCTGAAAAGGCTAAGACAGCTGTGATCAAAGCCACAAGGGACAATTATGACTTTGAATGATGAAGAAAGCTTTGGAGAAAACAGTTAAGTGAATCAGATAGCAGCTAACCATATATGTATCTATCACAAGAATGTGAATGCTAAATCAATTTTTAAGAAAGTATTGCAGAGATCACTACCTACACCTCCCAATATATACTCTTCTCTTTTGCTTTAATAAGAGGCCAAATTTTAGTTGGGCAAATGGCTGCTCAGTAAAAAGACTATTATTTCACAGCTTTATTTGCAGGTTAAGTGTGACCAGGTGAATAAATTTTGGCTAACAAGATGTACAGAACTTCTTGGAAGTTTCCTTGAAATAGAAACTTTCTTGTTCTCTTTGCTCCTAGGCCGGAGCCCAAGCAGTCATCTTGGACTATGAAGAGTAGACTAAGAGTATTAGCAGTAAGACAGGAGAATGAGTCTTGAGCTGTGGAAATTAGCTACTGGTCCAGGACAATTTTATCCCTGGACTTCTTTTATGTAAGAAAAAGAATAAAATCTTGTTTAAGCCATTGAGGTTTTTTCGATTGTTGTTATAGTTGAAGCTGCATATAGTAATAACAAATGCTAACTCCTACAAAAACAGCTATCTAACTTCTATCTACCTAACTTCAATTGTTCGGAAGGTACTCAAGAGAACAAACCATACGAAAGATAATTTCAAAAGTAGAACTCTGCTGTTCTCTTTCTATATCCTTCCCCATGTTATTTTTACATACCCTTCTTTCCTTTGGAATTTTCCCTTCTGCCTCTAGTTTTGCCCGGGCTTGCCTCCTCTTAAGAATACGGTGGTACTGTTTGGCATTCACATAGAGAGGCTCTTCTTCGAGCATCTCTGCTCCAGGTAGAGGGATTCTTTGGATAGCAGGCACAGAGCCAGCCCCAGGTACCATCTGTGTGAACATGAAACCAGAGCTTATTGGTGGCAGAAGTATGGACACAGGAAACAGTTTCTTGGTCCCTGTTCATCTATTTTCTTCTGAATGCCACAAAAAGTAACTTTTATAGGGTACTTGGTTAAGTACAGATTCCTGGAGGACATTTATTCTAAAGGTCTGCATTTTAAACAAACACCCCAGATGATCGTGTCATAGGGGGCTCAGGAGCACACCCAAAGGACATAACCATGCCCAAATTCATGTCCACAGGTGGATCTATTTCCTAGGTATGTCTGCTGTTATCTAATGTTCAGGAACAGTAGTCATAAGATAATAAAACAGCAAAAAGGCAGGTACAGATTGACCAAGTGCTACTAAATGCCTATAGTCACAGAAATAATTTAATGACATAGTTAATTTACAATATAATTCAATCCTAATTTTTCTAAACAAGCAAATAAAAAACAAATAAAACGTTTTACCATATGTATGAGGAAACAAGTAACAGGGTCCTGTATCCCACGCCCTGTCCTACTACAAACACTATGAATGGTTGTATTGATACTCCTGGTAGTTTCCTCCACCTCTGTGCAGACTACTACTACTTATTCTTAATTTATCCACTTTAAGTCCTGTGCACTAACATCTGTTTTGACAGGGGAGGATTTAGCTTTCACTCATACCACCCAACTCTCTTTCCCTATCCTCCCAATATATTTATATCACATTTTTGGTTTCTCTATTAATTAAAATCTTTGTAATTTTTAGTTTATTTCTTGTTTCATCCACCATAGGCAATACATGTTCTATTACCCAAAGATTAGTACCCTATCCTTCCCTTCATTATTTGAATAGACTTGCATAAAACCAGATATTTACACCTGTTTAACCACTGCTATATCTCCAGTGCTAGAATAGTCCCTGGCACTTAGTAGGTGCTCAGAATTAATTACGGTTTGTCATAATGTTATTGTAAAAGTAGATCACTGTAAGTGCCTTAAGGATCAATCTCAATCCCAAGAGATCAACATTATAAACACATTTTAAGAGACATCAAGTTGCAAGTTTGAGAAAATTTCAAAGACAAAGATACATACATATGTGTGTGTGTGTGTGTATATATATATATATGCATAAAACTGTATTACACGAGAACAGCAAGCTGAAGAACCAATTTTCTTACCATGACCATTCCTCCTGAATTGACCACATTTCCTGCCACGGGTAGTGTCACAGTGACGGTCCCTTGCCCACTGCTGGTTGTGTTGGTATTGGCTCCTGTCTGAACAATCTGTGCTCCTGCCAAACTGGCTGCTGGGATGGTGATCATGCCTGAAACAGGGACTGTAACTTTAAGAAAACAAAACATAAAACAAACAAAAAACAGGCACACAGAACAGAAAGAAGGGAACATAGTTAGTCCCTCTTCTATCTGGCACACACTCACTCACCTTGGAAAAACATACTAAAAAACACAAGGGGAGAAAAAGTACTCTTCCGCTCTAGTTTGCTATACAGAATCCAAGTAATTGCAATTACTGAAATTCTATTAACTGTCAAGGACCTGGCTCTCAGTAAATCTATCCTTGAAATGGATACTTCCTTGGGAATTCCAGCAACAAGTTTTCAAAAACTGAGAAAGTTTGGAGGCCTGCCCTTCCATGGGTCAATCTGACTACAACTATACCCACTGCTCTTGTACGTATGAACAATCGGTTTCAGGATAGAAATTTTATAAACTTATAATTTATTTACCCCAAACAGACCAAGAGCCAGTTGCAGGATTAAACTTTACAATCGAATCAAGCATTCTAAGTCCCCAAACCATCAAAATCTGTTCACCACTCTGTTGGAGCTCTTGCTGGGGCTCAATCCATTTTAGGCCCTCTCCTGAGTCGTACGAGAGCACATGGTTACTATACTCTCTGGACCTTGTATAACACAAAATTTTAATCACAAGTCAAACCTTCAGTCATGAAATCTAAGTGAAATGTCCTTTCTTGATTTAACTATCCCATTATCTAACACATGCTTCCGAAAGCCTTCAAGTCCAGTTTGAGCACTCCTCCTCCCTTATTTGTGTGTCATCTATCCCTGTAACATACCTCTATAAGGGCCCTGCATAGTATTTATTTGTTCACATGTCTTTCTTACAAAACTAGAGGCTCTTTGAGAACTCTTCTTTCTTAGTAAAGTGCTGTATATAAAGTAGGCCTATAAGAAGTCTTTTTGGAATAAATTAATAATGGAGCGATCCTGAAAAAAATAACAACAAGCAACAGCACTCTAAAGTGATTTCTGATCAGTTTCTACTTTTACCAATAAAAAAACTCCCTATTTCCAATCTTCTATTTAGAGACATTTCTTCCCTAAAAGCATTAAAAATTTACACAATCCCTGGGACCAGTCTTAACGGCCACTGTAGGAACCCCTACAAATGGAACCAGTATTGGTCACATATGGTGACAAGAAACCAACGATCAATGGAGAGCTCAAAGAAAATTTTTTTGTTCAAAAAATATGTCACGTAGAGTTCACCACTAAAATTCTGAAGCAGTTGCCCAAAGGACAAAAATGATGTCCCAGGAAGTCCCAGGGAAACCTATGGGGATACTTACCTTGCTGGAGAATGGTGCCATCTGCATTAACTGGCTGATAAACAATAGTCTGCCCTTCAGCAGTCTGTGCCACTTGCTGACCCTGGACAGCAATCTGCTGCTGTGTCTGTAGGAAATAATGACATAATTCAATAGATTCCAAAGACACACACAAAGAAAAGAACCATGTGGTCCTTTAAAAACATTTTTTTTTTGGATGGTTTTCTTCCCCACTTCTACTACACATGAAACATCTGACTCAGTTATCTGACTCTTCCAAAACAGAGTTGTGTTCCTATGTTGACAGCTAGCGCAATTACCTGAGTCTGGCCAGCGGTGACGGCTGTCTGGGGCTGCTGGATGATGATCTGCTGGGTTTGGCCCTGCTGGCCCTGCACCTGCACAGCCTGTCCACCCTGGATCTGGATCTGTCCAGGTGGGACCAACTGTATCTGCAGTAGAAAACACAAAGAAAGGATAGCACCTTATTGACACTGGTCTCTTTTGGTCCCTGAGTGTTAGTTATCCAAATTTCTCTAGAAAGCAGGAAATGTTAAGAGGAAAAAAGACAGGAGTCCTGTTCTGCCCTCAGTTATGAACTAGAAATAACTTATTTTCCATTTATGAAAAAAACCCAGGGAATTCTGAACACTGGATACCTGATGATATTAAGAAATCAGTGTCACTTTTTTGAAAGATGGTGGTGGGTATGGTTACATATCTTATTTTAAAGGCATGCTCATTTGAAAATACACTTTGAAGTACTTTTTACAGACAAAGAATATTATGTATGTAAATATTATGTATCCTAATATAGTATATTCAAAATGTATTCTACCCTAGTCAAATGTTGATCTGACCACAGCCCAGGTCAAGGCCTTGATGAGGGCCTCCAGAGAGACACTGAGAGGACCCAGTTAAGCTGTGCTAGGATTCCTGACTTACAGAAATTATAAAATAAATGTGTGTTGTTTTAAGCTACTAACTTCTAGGATAATTTGTTATACAGTAATAGATAACTAAGGCAATGGAACACATTATATTCCTCCTATTCTTATTTCCAATACCCTCACCAATAGTCGATACTGTCATCAGCATTTGCCAACTTTTTGTTAATTTGTATTTCCTATTTTGTTCCTAGGTTTGTATAGCTAAACCTCAGATAGCAATTATGGAAAGCAGGGATCTTATGCTATCCAAATCTATTTTCTTTCTTGTTTGAATGGCTATAGCCACTTTATTAGGAGTATAATCAGAAACCTGACAAGATTGAAAAATATTTCTCTGAAATTTTATAACTTAAACTGTAACATAACACTTTAAATGTTGCGTGTATAGCATCCTGTTTCCATATAATGACTACTGGACACATTTTTTTCCAAGATCAAAAGAGAAAGCACTTAGGCCCCACAGCTCAATATTTCTAGCATTTTATATTCAAGAATACCCCCAAACCCAAAACGGTGAGAGTACTAAGTTTCCCCCTTAGTTCCCTCATTTCCCTTCCCATTAGTTCTTTAACCATTCATTCATTCATTCCATCAACAAACATTTTTGATTGGAGTGTTGCTTCAACAGAGCTGGCAGTACGGAAGAAGGGTACGTTCTCCAAACTTTAAGTGCATAATTGTAACTTAGAAAGTGTTGGCAAATGAATAAATAAGTAAACAAACTTATCTGGTTATCTAAATCTGTATCATTCTTGAGTTCCAGATAGCAAGGTATACGTATTTATATTGGCTATTAGAATTTCCTCTCCTATATGTGCATATTCTTTGTCCATTTTTCTACTGAATTGTTGTTTTTGTATGAATACATAAAAATTCTTTATATATTCTGAATACAAACCCAGTTATATGTATTAAAAATACCTTTTCCAAGTCTGGACTTTGTTTATCTTTACTTATAATGTATTTTAATGTAGACAAGTTTTAAAGCAAATCAATTTTTTTTTTGTCTTTAAGAAATCCTTCTCTACCTTGATAGCATAAAGAAAATTCTCCTGTATTTTCTTTTAAACTTTCCAAATGTTTTTTTATATTTAGATCTTTAATTCATCCAGCAAGTATTTTTAATATAGTATGAGGTAGAAATCAATTTTCTTTTTCTGTATCATTCTTGAGCCATTTCTTCACTAATATGCTCTTGTTACATACCAAGTTCCAATATTCTTACATCTATTTTTTGGTTCTCTACTCTGGTTCAACTGTCTTTATCAGGCCAAGGATCTTAACCTAAAATTGTATGTGAAATTTTGCAAGTATCTGGACATCTGCTCTTTTTCTTAGAGAGCACAGGCTTCACTGAAATTCTAAAATGGAGAATATAATCCAAAAAAGGTTAAGAAGTACTCTTCTTTAAAAAATGGCCATTCAGAGAACACTAATGAGAAACAATCTCTTATACAAAAGGAATTAAAGCCTTAAGCATTGTAAGGGAGGCTATGGAATCTCGCCTAAAGCTTTAATTACATAATAGAAAATAATTTTTCCAGCATGATTATTTACAGCCCTACTTGGACCACGGAAATAAAACTACCCTTTCAAAGTCTCTTACAGCAAAACAATACAAAACAAAGCCCCATAAAACCATAGAATTTAGAGCTAGAAGGAACCCTAGATATCATCCAACATAAACTGTATTTTTGGATGAGAAAACCAACAATTAAATGAGTTGGCCAAGACCAGAGAACTTGTTTAGAGGTAGACCTGGTAATGAAAGTCAGGTCACTACACGCATAGTACACTGTTGCTAGCAATGAATCACTGTGTCTGTATTCAACAGTGAAGAAGGTGCAGCAAGTGGGGCGGGAGTGGAGAGGAAGGACATAAATGATATAGCATCGGAAACAGAAAAGCACACACTGAAAATACATTTAAAGCCTCATACATTTATGCATGAGAAATATGCAAACTGTTTTTAATCCCAACTACAATTCTATCTTGGCAAAAATAAGCCAATAGGCTTAAAAATGCTCTTACCCTTTGCCCAAGCAACGCTCCAAAGAAATTACTTTAAGAATTCAACTGAAAAATATTAATAAAACTATCATGCCAAAATACAGTTACAGTAACTTTACTAACAAAAGCAAAAAACAAAACGAAACCTTTAAGTATACTTTGTAAATTGAAAATTATGATTCCATCAAATTGATTGAACATTATGAAAGAATTAAAAATGACAACTAGGAAAACCATGTAGAAATTAGCTAAATCAAAAAGAAAAAAAAGCCTACATGCATAAAAAATTATGTCCCAAAATTTTGCATGAAAACACAAGGGAATTTGCAAAGATTACAAGTTTGATTTATAAGCAGTGTGATCATGGTTGATTTTTTTCCAACTTATATCACCCCTTTCCATGCTCATAAACATATATATTCTGGGGGTTTGGTTATTAATTACAAAAGTAAGATCACACATTATATATTTCTCTGCAAATTATTTTTCACTAAAAATGTTGCACTATTAACCACCCAAGTCAACAGTTCATCCCTTTTAATAATGACATGATACTCCATATATGAATATTATGATTTATCTATTTCTTTATCCTTATTAATGGATATTCAGACTACAAAATTTTTTTTTGCTAGTTTAATGCTGTGATGAATGTCTTTGTAATGTCTCCCTACATATTGATGCTTTCTTTCTATAGCATAAATTCTCAGAAGTGGGACTGCTAGCTCAAAACGTTTATGTATTTAAGTGATAGTGAGATGCCTTTCCAAAATAATTTTATAATTTGAAATTACCAAAAATAATGAGTGTTTCCTTTTCTCTACATTCATTCTTGCAGTGGATATAATCCCTTTTTAATTTCTGCCAACTTGATGATAAACATCCCTCTAATTTTAAAATCTGATGCTACAGAGTTGTATGTAACATTCCCACATATTTCTTTTAATCTTTATCTTTCTCTTATTTTTCAATCAGTCTTTCAAATGGATTTATTTGTATTATTGGTCTGTTTAAAGAACCTGGCTTTCTACATTTTTGTTAGGTTTCTATTTAATTTTGACCTACTTTTTGCTCATTTTGTTTTCTCCCTAACTTCTTAAGAGAAATATCATTGCTTTTCATTTCTTTTAAAGTAAAGTATTTAAGGCTATACATTTTGTTCTAAGTATAGCTTTAGGTGTGTGTAATAAGTTTAGACTGAAAAATTTTTCTTTTTTAGTACTTGCTAGACAACACAAATGACAAGTTACATGAAAATAAATGAAAAGAATAACATTTCTGACCAAAAACAACAATTTCCAAAGCCGACTGTTAAGTTCCTTCCCCCATCCCCCAGGAGTGCGAACATAAGTCACACCAATGAAATACTTCATAAAGTAGATTCTAACATCTCTTTATAAACTTCTTTAGAGCAAGTCAAGATCATGCTTAACACCTTAATCCTTACTGGAGATGTCCAATTTCTGCATAATTCTAGTTTATATCACTGGTACTACTAATATACAGGTGGAAAACCAACTAAATGCAAAATGGGGGTTTCCAGAAGCAATTAAATGCAGTATCAACTATCAGTTTGTAACAATCTAAGTCTTTAAAACCTCTACTTTGATATACTGTCAAAACATTTTTTAATATCACTCACCTGCTGCAAACCCTGTGTCCCAGACACAGGTACTTGCATGATGGTTTGACCTTGTCCACCAGGGACAGCCTGGACCATGATGGGTTGGCCAGTTGATGTGATTAACTGGCCTCCACTGACCTGCACCATTAATGGCTGCCCCTGGACCTAGAATGAAATAAAATAAAAACAATGACATAACATAAGACACCAAATGGTTTTTACCAAAAGATAATCACTGGAACTATTCTGCTGCCTTGCTAGAGAAGGAAAAGGTAGGAGAGACACTAAGAAAGTAAGTCTTGAGTCCTTAAGTTATCTTCAAATTATCTGTGATACCTGTCACTAAATGCCAAGTGCAATATTTTAAGGTCAGATACAATGGAGTACAACCAGAGTCTTTGGGAAGTTTCAATAGATAAAAGGCATTTAGCACCAAACACAGCCTAAAACCATGACAAACATTTAATCTAGATGCCAATGCTATTTGCCTTTTTAAACTAATATCCAGGAATGGTCTCTAGTTAGGGCTGGAGAGGAGGAGCAATGAGGGGGAGAGGTCATGGTGGTAATGGTGGCTGAGTGCAAATTCTAAATAACTTGGAGAAAGCAAACCAAACTGTATCCAGCAATGACTCCAGGAAACTGAGTAGCAAGGCTCTGGAAGCTTATACAGAAGACCCTTTTCTCCCCATAGTCTACCAAGCAAAAATGAAATGTATACCTTTTACCCTCTTTACTTCACTCTGTGAATTCTAGATATGTTTATTGTTTAAAGAGCTAACTACTAAAGACTTTCTGGAAGTATTTTCTGGTCAGTTTGCAATCTCTACTGCAGAGTTCCTCATGTTGGACCCTGAAATATCTGCAGTTATTTTAGCTTTATCAGAAGCAATGATAAATACTGAAATTACAAAGAGCAGGGTCAAGGGTACAAATACAATTCCCAACTTTCAAGGTCCTATAAGTAAACAGACTACTCTACAAGCCAGGTCACTGCCAGCGCTCTGTCACATCTTGAGTCTCAATACAAAAATACCCAGTAGAATGCTTTCTGGAAGCCAAAAAATGAGCCACTTTAGAAGTGAACTGGAATGATCAACATAACAGCTAAAAATTCAAAACTTTCATTTTCGGATTCTATCTTTGTTCAAGGAATTATTTGTCACAGAATAAAAGACTATATATATAATATATATAGAATGAATATATAAAATATTCATTCTTAATCATAGTGCAAGTATGTTCAAATAACAGCAATTAATTAAAAGATCAACCTGTCCTAGATGAGTAGGTTAGGTAGTAAGACCCTCCTACCACCATCACCACTACCACAACCGTATCGGAATTACCAGGAACTTTCCAATCCCAGGTTGTATTAAATTGCCCATTGAGAACTCCACTTTACTTTTAAGGAGTTTACAGCCTGACTCTCTCATGCTTTCTCCTTTCCTTACTTCCCCATTCCAAACCAAATTCCCTTTGCTATACCAATGTTCGCATATTCCTTATCAGGAAAGATTTCTCAGAATACTTATTACATGAATAACTGAAAGAACCAGTTAAACTTCTCCAAATATAATGAGATCCCTAGAGGAAAGGTTTCTATTTTTCTGTAAAGCGTTTCCATTTTTTTAATATAAAATCTCTATAAGCAGGGAACACAAGTTTTAAAACATAAATATTAATAATTTTCTGGCTATCCTTCGCCTTAATTTCTCCCCCCACTGACATATTATTGAGCACATGATAAACGATTTGAGACTCCAAAAAGCCCACTGTATTTACAACATAACAATGATTACAAGGACACATGCATCAGACAAGAAGCCATACAGTTAAGAGCATGTTACACTCCCATTCCACAAATGGTTAATGACAATCCAAAATACTGTTTTATCTATCAGTAAGATGAAGCAAGCATGAAAAACATGAACAAGCTGTTGGACTGTGAGATTCGAATACAGTTCAGGAGTACCTACAAGTTCAGCTTCTTTCAACCTAATTTATATTCAGAATTGGTTGGACATCATCACCAAACACTAGTGATGGCAGGGGTGGGGATGGGACTGAAAGGGTAAAGCAAAATAATTATTAATATTATACAATAAAGGGCAGTTAACTGCAGGATGCTTAGCAGCACTAGTATTAAATAATAGAATGAGATGCCAGTTCTATATTCTGGGTCCTACTTTAAATCATTTCTAATAAGGAAGAAAAAAGACAGGGCACCCAAACCGTGCCAATTTCTCAAAAATATTAATATAATCATTTTAGTAAAAGTAAACTAGACACAGAGTATACTAGTGGTCCCTACTCCTATTTTTTACAGGAACTGGCCAAATTATAGCCCTAATTTAGGATAAACTTGGCCATACATAATGTTAAAGAACTGCACTGGTTAACTAAGAATTCTTACAGTGGCTGTTAATACCTAAGACTTACAGAAAGCATATCCATCCCCGCCCAACCAAGAGGTAATCTCTGCAGATTTAGTAATAAGACAGGTCACTATTTCCCCAGGAAAGGTAGTGAAAAAACGTCAGTTAAGATTAGCAGGATTCAGTGCTTAGATAAAACTTGCCAAGTGTAACGATTATTTTGCAGTTGAGTTGCCCTTTTAATCAAAATAAAGCACAGACTAATCTAGTTCATGTGTGTCTCTATATATGTATGTACTTCCTTCACTATAATACAAATTCATTAAGTTTTATCATGTAACTGATTACAGAGTCGGAGCTCTGAATAAGTTCTAATGCCACGTATAAGAATTTCTTCCTGTCACTTAAACCATTTATTTTCTAGGCATTCCCAAAGAAACACACTAGCCAAATTCAATTTTCAGAAAATTGATACAAGCTCACTACATGACTTGGCATGAAACATTAGGAAACTGGCATCTTATAAGCCTCAAAGAAAAGTTAGCAGCATCGAAGACATGCAACTGACTTCGCCATTCCTACTTGAGATTCTAATACAAATAGCACCAGACATGAGGAGAGGAGAAGTTCATGCAGTGCTCACAGAGAATCAGAGAGGGCACCACTACCTGGAGGGTCTGGACTTGCTGGCCTGAGGCGGATGCCACCTGGGCCTCAGTCTGCAACTGGACAGCAGTGACACCACCCTGCTGCTGAGAACAGGAACAGGAAGAGCTTGAAATGTGCCAGGAAGGAAATGTATAGTTCATGACATGAGATCACCTTACCTCTTGAGGGAGAGGGAGGGAAGTCTTTCAAAAGTTCCACTCTACCCAGGACTTTCAAAATGTACAGACTCCCTATACTAAAGCTGTTGTGTTGAGGGTAGCAGGATCAAAGATATTAATTAGCCCTTGTCTCCACTTCCATGATGCAAAAACATCAAAATGGCTGTTACCACTAACACAAAAACCTGCAATGCAGTCCCTTCTCTTCAGAAATAGGAATTTGATCCTTCTGCTTATATAATTATTTTAATGTTCTTTTTATTTCCTCAAATGAGTTCACAACAACAAATTTATCAGGTTGTAACAGCCTCAAGTGACAATGAACAATTTTGGGGGCTTAAATGCAATCACCAAGAAAGGAAGAATAAACTAATTACTGTGAACCAAAATCATCTTCATTAGGTCACTGCTCTTATCTCCTAAAACTAAGATTATTTCTACCCTAACTGGACTGCCTTAGAAGCCATGTTTTCAGTGATCTAATCTTATTTTTATATCGCCTAATGGTAAGTTCGGACAGAAAAATCTACCCTCCAGGGTATGAATGGAGGACTCTTTGAGGAAGCCCCTTCTCTAAGAAGGCAGCTGAAGGAAGCTGCCAGAGCCATAGCAGCTGTGTGGAAGGGAAGGCCAGCAAGAAAGTTTAAATAATTAATCTCTTTTAATCAAGAGTGGTTCCTTCCTTTGATCATTAGATCAGAACAATTCACCATCAATATTACCTTTGCTGTCCCTACCATTCTTCTATATTAGCTAAGTTGTCTTTTGAAAATAAAATATTCCCAAGATATCAATCTTGGCCTAAGGTCAAACTGAAGCATAACAAATTTCTTTTCTTCTAGGTGTGGGGGAAAAAAATGAAGTTTTACTAAAATAAACCCAGGCATAAAGCATCAGAAAATGAAATCTGTATAGAGATTCAAGAAAGCAATCTATCGGTTAGGAATAAACCAGCAGCAAGAAATTCCTTTCTAATAAGTACTTATTCATAAGAGTGGCTGTCTAAACATTATCCTAATGTTAAACTATAGCTTTTGATTAATAGACAAAAACTGTAATGGACCAAATCAAAGAACAGTGGATTTCTTGGAAGCTGACTATCATGCTTTGCCTGTTGTGGCCAAACCCTTACTAAACTACAAGTTAGCTCAAACAAAAAGAGAGAACAATAAATTGAATCCAGAAAAAACAAACCAAAAAACCCTCCAAATTTCCATCTGAAAAACAGACTATGTTGTTTTGACTTTTAATGAGCTAAAAGGGGCAATTTATTATTAAACCAGGTCCTCATTAAGAGCAGATTCTAAGTGGTCATGGACTGGATATAGCACTTAACAAGCTATCACACCCAATATTTCACAAGATCTGGTACCTCTCAAATAATTCCCCACGGTAATATTCCAACCAATTGAGTAGTACTGTTAAAAGTAGTTTTACTTCATACCTGCTGCTGAATCTGTCCAGCCTGCACAACTATTTGCTCTGTGGAACTATTGCTGTTTGCTGTATATTGCTCCATGGTCCCTCCAAGTTAGAATCCTATCCACCGTGAGCTTCACTCTGGAGATACCAGAAGACTATGAGGTGCACACCTATTAGAAAGATTGGGAAAGAAACTAAAGTGAGATTGTTGATAAAGGCCTGGCCAGACAATTAACCTTGATAACTTATCACTGTACTTTGTTTGCAAGAAAACAGGGTAAGAGAATAGAAAATGCTTATATAGAGTATCACTGAATATAAGCAGGATTATGTGGTATAATTATAACAACAATACAATGCTATTTTCATATTCTTTAAAGTGCTTTTGGTCATTTCTTATTAGCAACCTTACCTTTCGATACTGTCAGAGCAACACTTGCACCTTAGAAATACTCATTAAGCTACGATATTGCTTTGTTATAAGGCCTACATAACACTTATTTTCAGGTCTGCATATATACTTTAAAGAATAAAGTTAAGTTGTAACACATAATTGTTGCCCACTAAACATGTTGCTCCAGTGCGCTACATATGGTAAGCACTTTAAAACTTCAGGGTTTATTATTTAGTAAGTAGTTTACCATAGACCTTACCTCAAATATTTTGTTTATCGAAATTTCAATTAAGTGGCCCGCAGTAACAAAGCTCTAGGAAAGGTTTAGGGGTTTGCATTTTAATCCAAAGCAAGAAATAAAAAGAAGTTATACTAATGATAACAATGATATTTATAGATTAGATATAAGGAAAACTTTTAAATGACGTACTAAGGCTATGATTTTCTCTAAAAACAACTAAAACATTCCTCAGTTTTGAATCTGGATGCCTACTAACACCCCGCCCTTTATTGTATAATTCTAACTTTTTATTATGGCAGTTTTCAAATATATACAAAAAGTAGAGGGAACAGTATACTGAACCTCCAAACACATCATCCAACTTCAACAACAAGGCCAATCTTATCTCACATATCCCCCATCCCTGGATTATTCTGAAGCAACTCCCAGACACCATATTACCCCTCAAATTCTATAAACACTGCAGTATCTATTTCTAAAGAATAAAGACTTGTTTATCTTTATCATTTTATCACAACGATACTGTGTCTCCACAATATCATTTTCAAACATTAAGAAATTAACCAGTCCTTACTATCATCAAATATCCAGTCAATGTTCAAATTTACCTTTTTCATACACTGTAAGAATTGAGGACCACCCTCTTTTAAAAATAAGGGCACAATTAGATAAACTGAAGTGACATTTGAGAACCTTGAATAAAGCATTCAAAAATTAAAATATATAATTTACCAAAGGATAATTCATCTTGGAAGTATGGGGAGAGGGCAGGTAGAAACAAAATGTAGGTAAACCTCTCCCTCCAGTTTTCCCATAGGCCCTCAAAAATTCCAAAATTGGAATGATAAAATGATGCGACCTAACTGAGCTACACATTACTGGGGCAAAGTAAGGTATCACTCTCCATAAATCCACACATAGTGGATGAATTGAATTACTTGTAAGGAGTCTCAATATGGTGTGAAGGAAGAAATAAAAAATATATTCAATTACATGTCCAAGTATTTAGGAAGAAATACACTGATATCTAAAATTTGCTTTGAAATGCATCAGAAAATAAGATGGACTGAAAGATGAACGGATGGAGAGATAGGTAGGTATCTGGCAAGGCAAGTATGATAAAATGTTAACAGTAGACTATAAGTGGTGAGTATACAGGTGTTTACTGTAAAATTCTTTTAACTTCACTGTATGTTTGAATATTTTTATACTAGATGCTAGGAAAATATAATCAAATTTAAAATAAAAATCTATCAAGCCCATTACTCATAACCAAGATGGATGTAACATAAGAGTATATGAATCATAAATAACAGGTTATGCCATCACAGCAAGATGGCCATACGGTTCTCTAAAGCACTGCCCTTGCTCTAACGGAATGTTCACCAGGCACATTTCTAGCTATAATTTGGATTTACACATAGATTGGCCAACAGGGAGCAAATACGATGCAAGACATCTTGATAGTTATTCCTCACTGCATACTCACCAACCAGTCTCTTCTGAATTGGTTTACTAAGTCTGCTCCTGAGAGATTCTGGGCACGGTTTTCAGCCAGACTAAGTAGCTCTGCTAGGGAAGTTAACAGGCTTTGTCTCTAACGCACAATACATTTATGTTTCTAAACTAATAAAATTAAGGTCATAAGAGAATATATATAATTTCAATTATATGAAATCTTGAAAATAGTAATGTAGAGACAAAACAGATCAGTGGTTTCTTGGGACTGGAGAATGGAGGGAGATGCAAAAGGGAGAGGTGACGGATAGAGCACTAGGAAATGTCTGGGGTGACGAAAATGTTTTACATCTTCATTGTGGTGGTGGTTGCAAAAGTGTATAAATGTGTCAAAAGTCATCAATATGTACACTTAAATGATTACATTTTGTGTCTAACCTATATCTCAACAAAAAGTCGACTAAAAAATAAGGAGCATGAAAGGAATGTCTTCTGTATTTCAACACTTCCTCACCCTCACCCTTCCCATATGGGATTCTTCCTCATGGAAGACATGGCAATGACTAATAGATATGACATTATACAGACTTTTTCCTTACTAGTTTATCCTGGTAATATAAATGAGCCAATTTAAGAACATTCAAATCTATTATACTTTGAAGAGTAAAAAAGGAAACAGCTTCAAATCTAGTAGCAATTCTCTCTCACATTAATGAGGGAGTGATTCAGCTGTAGCATAATATTGAGACTGTTAACGGTGAATTCTATAAGCAACCAGCTTCACTGAAGCCGTAAGTTGCTACCACTGTGAGCTTCAGTTAGCAGAACTGCAATATAATTTGACACACTGTCTGTCCTAAAGTGCTTCTCTGCCCAACATTACAATAAAATTAAGCCAGCCAGAGTTAGTCTGTCCAGATCTTGCTCGTAACATAAAGTTTTGAATTTTTTTTTCCTCAGAGAGAATCAGAAAAGAGAGTGTGGAGTATGTGCTTATTCTGGCTAACATAAAAATTCTCTTCCTATATCATCCCCACCCCACCATTTCAAGGCGCAGAAGCTGAAATTTAGCCAATCACTAGGAACCCATTCTATGTGAACCAAAATTTCCAGAAATCCAACTAGTATAAGCATAGGAAAAGCCCTCAAATTACCATATTTGACAATCACTACCAGGCAAAGACTGGAACAGTAGCTTTCTAACTTTTTGGACCACAACCCACAGTGAGAAACATTTTGCTAGTTCAACTCAGTGCACACATAACAAAACATATGTAACTAAAACAAAAGTTTCCTGAAATAATATTTATCCTTATACAGCATAAGATGCACTGATATTTTCTATTATAAAAAATTATCAGCAGCACTAGCCTACTCAATTTATTTTATAACTCAAGAAATGGGTCCTGATACATGTTTAATAAAACTAGACCAGATAACAAAGGGCTGTCCAGCTTCCCCATCATCCTACAGGTTTCTGGACTGGAGTTTCCTAATTTGTTCCTTCTCTCCACTAATGATGTGCCAGACACTATTCTAAAGGCTTTAAAAATCAAAAAGAAGGTCACAGTGGCTCACTCCAGTAATCCTAGCACTTTGGGAGGCTGAAGTGGGAGGCGAGGCATTTGAGATCGGCCTGAGCAACACAGTGAGACCCCATCTTTACAAAAAACCAAAACAAAAAAGAAATCTCTGATGAAGATCTTAACTTCAAAGAATCTTTAACTTTAGTAACATAGTGAAAACTTATACTAGAATCCTGAGATAGAAACAAAGTAATATGGGAGCTGGGAGAAAAGTGATTTCTTTGTGAGGGCAGAGATTTCTTCTAGCTGGGGATAAATCAAGGAAGTCTTTAGGAAAAGGTATCATCTGAACTGGCCTTAAGTGTGAGAAGGATTCAGCTACATGATGATGTGGGTGGGGGTAAAGTACTCCAAATCAAGAGAGCATAAAAACGGGAACAGTAAAATTTCAGCATATGAACAGACTAAAAGACCCCATGTCCAGAGAAAAGTGCGAGGGGCCACACTACTGTCTCTCAAAATGCCAGGCAAATAAGTTGTTCTGCAGATAGGTGAAGACTCTAGAGATGTTTAGAAAAAAAAAGTGACTACGTTATAAATGCCTTTTAGAAAGATGTCTAGCAAAAAGTATTTGGTGGTTTTGATGCAACAGATATACCCATTTTTAAATACCAACGTTAAAACATCTATTCCAAAGGCAAACATAACCTGCCCCATCTATCAATATGGATAATGTAGGAATTAAATGAATTTAGAAAATATTTAACGACAAAGAAAAACTCATTCTAAAAAGTGAGAACAAAACTGTCCCCAAAGTTTCAGTATTGGAAAAAGCACTGGACTAGAAGAGTCCCGAACCCTGCCAGTTGTATGACCTTAGTAAATGTGACAACCTACTCTGTGTGCCAGGGAATGCACTAAATACTTCACGTGAGTAAAAATAATTTTTAAAGTCCTATGACAAAAATCTTTCCTTCCCCAAAAGAAGTCAGCCAATGTTAGGGGGCAGAATCCACAAGTCAGAAACTTGTTTTTCTGAAAAACGTATAGTTCTAGATCCCTTCTGCCTGAACCTCCAGACAAAATAATTGCTTTTGAAAAACTCCTTAGCAAGATATACAAGTGTTTTTTTACTAACTGGGCTTTCCTGCCTAAATTGTCACTACCACTGCCCACTGTCCTATCCCATCTTTCCACCTCAAGCACACAGCACAATTTGATGCCCCTGCACATGCTTTTCTGTGAGCAATGCTCTTCCATCTTACCTGCCTGAAGAAATCCCATCATCTGTTAAAACCAATCAAAAGTGTGGTGGTGAGAAGCATTTCACTGAGGTTTGTTGCTAGCTCAGGCATCTATACCTCACAGCCCTGAACTTTGCTCCTTTACAGCTCTAACCATTGGTATTAATTAGCTGTTCACTTGCCCATCTCCACCAGAGAGGCAGTTATTTACCTCTACCCACTCCCTCCTCAGCACATGGACGATGCCTGACACATACTGCTGGATAATTGGTTGCCACCAGAGATTTACTCTCATCCTAAAGAAAACCCCACAACACTCTTAAATATCAGCTGAGAAAAAGTTAACACGGGATTAGAAAGTGTATCAGAAAACAACCAAAAGCCTAGTCTGACACATTCAAAGTGACATAGAAAAGTGAAAGCAAAAAAAAAAAAAAAAATTACTGTACTGCACTCCCAAGGGAGAATTCACAGAATGAGCAATGGATAAGACTATTAACAAGAACAGCAAGTTGCGCTGCCTCCAGGAAAAAGAATGCACAGGGCTATCAATCTTCTAAGAGTGAGGTTCTAGGCACCAAATGGACTGGCCTTACAGCCCGGGCAAGAAAGGGAGACCGTTTGGTTGGGCTCCGAGACGGAGGTGTGCGGTTCGACGACGGAGAGCGGGGCGGGGAGGAGAGGAAATGACGAGCCAAAGGGGGTGGTAACGGCGCCGGGCCGGAGACCCGGGCTAAGCGGGCCGGGAGGGGGGGCGCAGCGGGGCAGGGGAGTGGGCGAACTAATGGCCCCCTCCCCCGACCGGGAGGCTCTGGGGGCGGGCCTGCAACGCTCCGAGGCCACCGCCGCACTCACGACCCTGTGGCCGCAGCGCCCACCCGCCCCAGGCCTCCCTCTCGACCCAGAGGGGTTGCAGACAGATTCTTCTCACGGAGCGCTGTGGGGCACGGGCCCCGTGGGACGTGTTTCCCGTCTCGGGGGCCGAAGCGTAGAGAATGCAAGGGCAGGTTTAAGTGTGAGGCCGGAAAGACCAGGAGGAAACCGCCGAGGCCCGGGGCGCGCGTGTATACCAGAGTGTAGGAGCATTCGCGGCAGGCAAGCCCACCACCCCCGAGCCTGGGGCCTGAGAACCTGGGCCTGAAGGTCGGGAAAAGGGAGAGCACTCCCAACTGGCACTGGCACCATGCAAGGGTCGGGACCCTGAGGTGCCCGCTCCGGGGGGCGCCATCCCCGCACGGGGCGGCCCCTGCAGGCCTCGGCCGGGAGTGCCCGGAGGAGCTCGCTGGCTCCAGGCCGGGGCCGCCAGCCGCCCCACTCGGCTAGGCTCAGCTCGACTCCCCGGGCTCGACGGGCGCCTGGGCCTCTCCTGAGTGGTCAGCGAGACCCGCCAATCGGGGCGCTGGGGCCGGCTCTGGGCCGCTGGATATTGGCTCCTCACACTCACCGTGCCTCGCTCCCCCGGTTCGCTGCCCGCGCTGATTGGCTCCAGTACCGGACTCCGAAACCCAATCAGAGGCTCCAGCCACCGCTGCCGCCGCCACTGCCGCTGCCTCGCAAAATGGCGAACCTGAACAAAGGGGAATGGGGCCTCCCTCCAACCGCCTCCGCGCAGGCGCCTCCAAGATCACGCCCCCTAACTCCACCTCCGGGCTCGCTCCACCCCTCCGAAGGAGGACTGCGCAGGCGTCCCTTGAAGCCACGCCTGCCTCCCCGATTAGATTCCACTCCGGCCAAAGGAATACGCAGGCGCCTTCAAGGCGCGCAAGACCTTTCAACTCAAACACCGCCCTGAGCATTGTAGCACGCAGGCGCCAAGTAGCCCTTTTCCAGCGGCCACTGGGACACACCCCTGGGGCTAATGCGCAAGCGCCGCTCTTTCCAGCTCGCCGTCGGCAGTCTCGTTACGCATGCCTGGGCGACGGCGGGAAACCACGGAATTTACCGCCGGAAGTGCGCCGGCCATCACCAAAGAGTGCGAGCTCGGGTAGCTTGCTAGAGGGGCTCGCTTCCGCCCCGCTACCGGGTGGGGGGCGGCCATCTTAGGTGCGTGCAATTAAAGGCTGTGGCGGGATTGGTTCCGCATCTGGGCTCCTCCGCTGCTCCCCACCTACCAGGGTCGGATCCGGAGCCCTTCCCCGTGGGGCGGGGACCTCCTAACGGCCGACTCCTTTCCAGGTGAAGGGTGACCCGGGTACGTCGGGGCTTTGAGCGAGCCTCTCGCACCCTCCCACGGGACCCCAGGACAGACCCTACGCCCATGCACACGCTCTAGGATAGACAGAATGGGAGCCTTCTCTAGACTCTTTCTCAACCCCTTCCCCCGAATAGGGAGGTGAACGTTCCTCGAGAGGCCGCCTTCCCTCTCCCCATGCCTGCGGCTCAGCCCCTGCCCGGTACACTCTGTGGTTGCGGCTTAACCGGACAATGGCCAAGTCCCTCCTTTTTTCTTCTAAGCTAAACCCACTGGGGAAATACTTCTGTGTCGTTCAGGGAAAAGGAGCGTGTCCGCCTTGCTCGGAAGCGGCAGTGAAAAACGGAGGCGGCGTGTCTTAGGACCGCCTTTGCTTCTGCTGGCGGGGCTGGGCGCTCCAGGAAAGCGCGAAATGCTAGCGGGTCAAACCTAGGCTGCGTCCAAACCTAGGCATTCCTTGCTCCAGAGGAGTTTCGTGTTACTTCCCAGATTCAGAACGCACTCACATTCAGCGATAAACGTGGGGGGAGAAAACTAGTAAGTGGGTGTACAGGGCAAACAGTATAATATGTTAAGGCTGCCTAAACATTTTTACTTCCTTTTCCCTTGTCATAGCTGAAGAAACACTTAAATTCTGGAAATAGCAACCGAGTATCATGGCCAGCAGCCTTAATGAAGATCCAGAAGGAAGCAGAGTGCGTAACAACTATTAACTTATTGGCGAACTGAAATTCAGAATAATTGAGGTCCAAAGCATAAACACTTTTTAATTAAACCAATAATTGAAATGTCTTTTTTTCTCTCTAGCTGATTTATTAAAGAAAGGCTAATACGATCCTAGGCAGGAACCATCCATCACCTTTCCTTTTACACATGCTTCATTCGTTGTAGTTAACTCCTTCAATTAAATTCTGCAGATTAGGCTTTAAATCAAATTACAGGAGGGGTGGGGGAGGGGGACACAGAATAAAGAAAAATGAAAGAGCTTAGTACTTTTCTGTGTCTAATAAAACATTTTCTTTTCATTTGCCCATTTTAGATCACTTATGTGAAAGGAGACCTTTTTGCATGCCCCAAAACAGACTCTTTAGCCCACTGTATCAGTGAGGATTGTCGCATGGGCGCTGGGATAGCCGTTCTCTTCAAGAAGAAATTTGGAGGGGTGCAAGAACTGTTAAATCAGCGTGAGTTTTGGAAACAGCTTACCTGTTTTAATTTCCTTTTATTATACTTTAATAAACAAGATGTGCATGCAAAGAGGGGGTTTCTAGTAACTTAGTGCTTTTTGATTTAAGTTTTTCCTCCGCAATAATGGGCTCCAGTTTGGTCCCTTTATGACACCAAACCTGAATTCTTGTAAAAGTTTCTCATCGCTTCCTCCTCTGTCATAAAACTTTCTTAATAGTATTACTCCACTTCTCTGACACCTGCAATAACTCTGAAGTGCTTAGCAAAGTCCACAGATATTAGCATGGCATTCAAGACCCACTACTTACCAGTATACTTACTCAAAGAGAAGTTTAGAAACCTTATCCTTACAGACCCCTCCCATCACTTTCTAGTAATGATTTAAAGCCAGAAATGTTCATTAGAATCATGTGGAGCTTCTGAAACAGTTTCTCAGACCACATTCCAGGCTTACTAAATTAGTGTCCCCTGGTGATTCTGATCCCAGCCTTACATAATTTTTTTACTACTTTGTAGTGTAGTTATTTGTAAAGATGATGCCTTCTCTGGGTTGATAACTGTTTAACAATTAAGAACTTTTTACTGTATCTACATTCTTCACAATATTCCTTTACATAGCTCTTGTATATAAAAAGATCATTGTTGAGTAAACACACATTTGGCACGTGAAAAATGGTGTACATTCCAAGCCAATTTCAAGGCAATAGACACTAAAATTTTTTAAGTGGGCAAGTGAGGGTGTATTTGAAATTAGGGGCTGGACAAAAGATGGGGTGTGAGGAGGCATGATTATATGAAAGCTGTTTATTATGGAACACAGTATTTGAGACGGCTGATAAGGAGCAAAGTGGTCATAGGACACGATAGGTTTTTTCATCATTGAAAATTATTTCTGGTTCTGAGGTAAACTCAGATCTATAAAGATTTAAAAACAATGGAGATTGGTGAGGTTTTTTTTTTTCCATTTCTATTATTAAATAACTGTTTTTCTTAGAAAAGAAATCTGGAGAAGTGGCTGTTCTGAAGAGAGATGGGCGATATATATATTACTTGGTAAGGTGGGGCCATTTTCTTTTTCTGGGCCAATTTTTAATACATTCTAAGGATTGGTGAACAGATGGGTGGCACTACACTTGTATTGATCACGATGCCCCATTCTAAACAATTAAGGATGTTGAAAAGCTTCTGATCTCATAACAACTCAGGTCCAGTGGTGCTGACTACTAGGAGCACTGGATTAGAAAGGAATGTGAGGCTACATCCGAGCTCCTTGGGAAAGAGTACTGTGCCTTTCACCATAAGCCTGTTCTAAGACTTGCAAAAGCTAAGGATGCTTCATACTTTCTTTCCTAGACACAATGAGGTAAAAACAATGTCTCAAAAGACAGATTTCCCAAAGGGGTTTTCCTCTTATTCTTCCTTGTCAAATACAGTGCCAGGTAATACCCAGCTCCTCTTCTGCCTACTGCCTGAATGTAGGATTCTTCAACTGTCCAGATGGTTTTTGGTCCCAGAAAAGGTGTGGCTTACTTAGTGTTGGTGGTAGGTGACTCACAACCAAACCACTGCAAGCCTGATCTGGATGGCAAACAGAGTGAGAGATGTCCTAGCTCCTTTGAATTTTGTCTTCAAGGCTGATGTGACTTCCGGTGTTTCTGGAACGCCATCAGTTTTCTGTCTGTTATTTTATATAGAGAAACAACAAGCACAGTTTCTAAATAAATAGAAGTTCTTTATGAGATTTTCAGCTGTTATGGGTTCTTCCTTGTTATAGATACGCTGCTTATCTCTTAGAAGTAGCACAAAGACTTTCACCTATGTTGCTTAAAAACACTTGACAATAGGCACAACCTGCTAATCTCATGGGTTTCCTGGGAAAAGGAAAGATTACTGTATGGCAGAGTCTAGTTTTCTCAGTCTCTACTTAGTGGATTTTCCTGAGGGCCTCCCATAACAATGTGGAAGGGGCAGTATGACATTTGTCATCCCCGCTCTAGACTAATTAGTCTATGACAATACACTTGTTCTTTTATAGCATCCTGATAATAATACACTTACCGGGATGTTGGGGGAATGTGATGACTTTTCCATTGGCTGTCATTTTGGGATAATCAAAGTTTGAATCCTTTCTTTGTGCCTAGATTACAAAGAAAAGGGCTTCACACAAGCCAACTTATGAAAACTTGCAAAAGAGTTTAGAGGCCATGAAGTCTCACTGTCTGAAGAATGGAGTCACGGACCTCTCCATGCCCAGGCAAGGAAATCCAGGACGTTAAATGAAGATTTGATTGGTGGGGTTTATTGTCTCACCCAAAGACAAACAACTTAAAAGTTTAATCCAAAATGTAAATTTAAAGGTGGACAAATTTCAAAACTTTGTAAAGTCACAAGTGAACCGGTTGACCTTAGGCCAAGGCACAGCCATTTTCTAGCTTGAGCTGAATGAATCAGGACAATTAACTTGAGATGCATGCCTGCCTCAGCCTATTTAGTGGGGAGGAACCATTGTTATTTAGTTACATTTATTGAATTCCCAGCATTCTCTGCCTCAAGTTTGGCCTCTGTTCCTGAAACAATGTAAGCTAAAGAATCAAGACTAAGTAATTGTGATTTCTCTTTTGGACCATTTCTGGTCTCCCTAACCTGTTAATCCTGTGTTGCTGAGAAAGTTGGAAATTATCACTACCTTTTATACTGTGTGTTTGTGATCAGTATGGGAAGTACCCTGAGGGTCTGTCCCTGATGTAACTTCTTGGACCCTAACTATTGGGAACTTAAGGGAATGACATTGAGGGTTCAATAGCTCCTTTGCTTCCTTTTCAGGAAATAGGCCTCTCCTTTTCCTGTCACTGTAGTTTTATTCCAAGCCCCACATTACTTTGAATGTGGCTAGAGTGTCCCTTATCTTACACTGGTCTTTAATATGTTTATGGCTTATGTATAAGAAACTACTTTTATAAAAAGTCACAATTCTTTGTGGACTTAATTATCACATTATGAGATGAAATTAGCAATTTTTTTTTTTTTTTTTTATACAGAGTCTCACTGTGTTGCCCAGGCTAGAGTTAGTGCTGTGACGTCATCCTAGCTCACAGCAACCTCACACTCCTGGGCTCAAGTGATCCTCCTTCCTCAGCCTCCCGGTTAGCTGGGATTACAGGCATGTGCCACCATGCCCGGCTAATTTTTTCTATGTATTTTTAGTTGGCCGATAAATTTCTTTCTATTTTTAGTAGAGACGGGGGCTCAGGCTGGTCTCGAACTCCTGAGCTCAAACAATCCGCCCGCCTCGGCCTCCCAGAGAGCTAGGATTACAGGCGTGAGCCACCGCGCCCGGCCGAAATTAGCAATTTTAAGCCTCTCTTTTTCCCTTAGAGATGTTGAGGAATGAGAGTAACATCTTAGAAGGAAGGTGCCAAGTAGTAGAATTTTATGGGCTGACTAGGTTTCTCACCAGGGTGTTGCAAAGACCTTACTCTTGGATTGCAACCAGCTTAGCATTTCTCACCATTACATCTTGACTTTCTTTTGGCAGAGATCCTCTTCATTGTCCATCTTCTCCTTGTCTTCCTTAACATTTCATTATCATAAATGCATTTTTAAAATACCAGCCTTTTCCCCATCCATCCACAGCCAATTTTTATCAGTAGACATAGAGGGATAATGAGTCTCCCATGTCATGGCAGAGTTATACGTTTCTAAATGTAGCATGAAACAGTTGAAAAGTGGTACCTTACTAGGCAAAGAGAAGTGAGTTGTTGGATGTTAAGGCTGTCTAGGAATAGTCTTAGGTGACTCATAAGAAAAACTGATTTCCCAACTTCCACCATGGCTGCCTATAGGTGTGAGACTAGATAACTTGGTTTTATGCTTTAGGTGGATACAGCCTAAAGAAAGAGGGAAGGAGCAATTTCCTAGATACCTTCATCACACCAATGGAGATGTTTTGTCTTTTTCAGGATTGGATGTGGTCTTGATCGTCTGCAGTGGGAAAATGTATCTGCGATGATCGAGGAGGTATTTGAAGCAACAGACATCAAAATTACCGTGTATACACTCTGAACAGATGAACATTTTGGATGTGTCCATGTTCTCCTGTATCATACCTTATGGGCCATAGGACTGGGCAAACTGACCTTAAAATGGGCAGAGGAGTTTCCTGTGAAATAGTCTGTGTCACAGGACAGCCTTGGGTTGCTATATTCCAGTATTTGAACTAGGACTCTGGAGGAGGGATTGCTTTGGGCATGTTGTGTTTTTTTGCAGAAAGGTAAGGAGTAGGTATCCTGATAATAGGCAAGGAAACCAGACAGTTGGGCCTATGACGTCTGTTTTGCTTCAGTATGCTACCTGATTTGTTTAGCTGGCCACTGGGTGGCAGCATTGATTATGCTTCTCTGCTTTTTAAGAGGAATTTCAGGAAGGATGATCATTTTAGTTAGTTTGGAATTTTTTGTCATTTGTACACTTAACTTGGTATTATCCTTATGTCATTATATTCACCCTAGGAGAGAGTTACAGGTTGTTTTGTTTTTGTTTTAATTACAAATTGAGTTCTACATTGCTAACCAGGAATTTGTAGTGACAAAAGTAGAAAAATAAATCTTTTTCTTGGGATTCAGTGAGGTTCTATGCTCATGTCTATATTGTTCTGGACTTGGGTAATGCAGGATGCACCTGTAACTTAATTTCAAAGAGTCAGACAGAGGGTCCAGTGGGAAGAGTAGCAAGGTGAGAAATAAGAGGTAACAATGGACAAGATCCATGGATTAAAATAATCAAAAGGCAGGTTTTTAGAATCTCCTCATGGTGAACTCTTCCTTTCTTATGTCCATTGCATGGTTTCTGTGTTTAAATCTGTCTGAATTTAATCATGAAAACAAATGAAATAATATATGATAAATGCCTGGCATAGCACTTAACACAGAGTGGGGACTCAATCAGTAATTCCCAACAAAATCCATATGAATCTTTTTTAAAAAAAACAAAGGCCACTTCCTCTCAAAAAATTCTAATTTGGTGACAGGATGGGATGGCCAGGTGTCTTCGTGTTTTTAACCTCCACAGAAGATTCTGATGTGCAGCCAACTGGGATCTCCAGAACACTGTAGTGAATATGAGTCCCCTTTTCTTCTGAAGCTAATAAGACAAGCTAATAAGCTAACAAGTCCTCTTGTTTTCAGAGGGATAATAAAATTGATGGATTTAGCCAGTGGTTCAGTATCAGAGCTATTGGGGAAACTGTTTTCTTTTTTCCCCTTACTGTGGAATTGAGAGTTAAAACAACCAGTCTTGCTATTGATTTTCTCCCTAGGGTGAGCTCTGGGCCTGATATAGGACTTGCTGCTTTCTGAAGTGTAGAAGAACAGCTGGGTTTTAGAAGGGGCTTGTCAAAACACCAGGAAAGCACTGGTTAAATATAATCTTCGTACTTTAGACTTATGTTCTTATCACATTTCAGCCTGATAAGAGGAAACAGTTTCAAAAGAGTATTTCACTTTTGTATTTCTATGTGGAACAGACACGTTCTCCATGTTGTTGGGGTAGGGGCAGCGCAGGAGCAAGTTTATGATCAAACTTTTAGACTGCGGCTTTTCTTAAATCTTGGCTCCTGTCCACATAAAATACAATTGAAGGGAAAATAGGAAGGAGAGAATGTCTAAATACACAAAATTGAAAATGAGAGCAGGGGGATAAGAGGAAACTTAAAGAATTATGGTATTTTATTTAACTCTCCAAATATAGATGCTTCCCAGCTAATAATGGGGCTACATCTGGGTAAACCTATTGATAGTTGAGTTCCGTTGAGGATATACTGAATATGTATGGTTTTTGTACCATTGTAAATCAGGGACTGTTAATCTTAACACTTGGGTCAACTCTTGGGTTTCTTTTAAAGAGATTATGATTTTTTTCATGGAGTATGAGCCTTGATTCTTTTAGCAAAACCTAGTCTCATCCAGGATTGGCTGTAATTGGAATTCTGGGACTCAGGAGAAAAGTGATAAAGTGCTTTGTTCTGCGCAGATGGTAATGGTGGGGTCAAATTCTGATGACTTATCACACTTAAAGGCTGGAGAAAGGAGGCATGGCCTGATAATCAGAATGAACACATTATTCCTGGAAACCTAGTTAGAGTTTGGCAAACACCCAGAAATTCACATGTGAAATTTTGCTTCCACGTAGGACTCAAACAAATCTTTAAGAAATGAGACTTTTGACATAATCCTACCATCACCATCAAATACCACATATCGAATACTCTTAAATGATGTGTATCTGAACATTGAACTCCTCCTACTTTTCGCCCTCTCCTCTCTAATCAAGAAGCTTACCTGCTTATTAATTGGCAATTGGGATACAGATACCGTATAACAAATTCCCATGCTTTTTGTTCCACCTTCTACCATACCCTTGTCCTCAGAGAAGAGAAAAGGCCCTCATTTACAGGTAATCTCAGAAGAAAACATTTTAAGAAGGTCGCCATGGCGGGAAGTCTGTATGGGAGAGTTAGCATCCTGTATTGTCTAGACAAGTCCTGGTTTACTCTTCCCTCCCACTTTGTAATGGTCATGGCTTGGTTCACAGCCTGGGACATCCCTATGCCTGCAGCTCACTCACTCTTCATGGTAACTCCCAAATGTCCAAGTTCCTTAAAAAGCTGGCCACACAAAATCCACACCACTACTTTTATTAATGTCGCTGTTTCTCTTTCTTTAACAAAAGAATCCAACTTAGCGTAAAATGCATATTTGAAAGATCTGTACCTTGGATCTTAGGCTCTTTGCCTTAAGTAGCCCCTTTGGGGAGTAATTAGGACCTTCAGTCTCACAGATGCCTGGTGCCCGTATATGGTTGCATTTCTCTCCTTTCAGGTCTCTTTCCTCTCTCCCAAGAGCAGCATTAGAGAGAGATGCACAGCCTAAATGAATTACAGCATGAGAAGTGTATTTGGAGTCCTCTCAGGGCCTTATCCAGGAGGACAGGTTCGTGTTGAATGCTGTCCAGCTGCAAGTGGTATTAGGAAGACAGGCATGTCCCGGATGGCTATACATGTCACTGCTGTCTCTTGGTGGCAGCAGGCAGACCTTGGTGAAAAAAACAGAAAGCATGTTACTGAGAGCCTTGCTGGCCCCAAACAAATACTGGTCTCTTTTTGAGCTAAGATTTCTGTGTGCTTTCCCCAACAAGTTCCTGAATTTCTCTTCCATAGTCTCCTACGGTTTCTGCCTTATCCAGGATTGGCTTTGTTTCTTTCATGCATGTTTTGATGTGGTTCACACTCAAAAAACCCAGAAGAGATCGGCTTTAACTCTATTCCCTAGAGTTAAATATATAGTTAAACACTATTTTCATTTTTTAAGAAACAAAAGATGAAATAAGAAACATTAGACAAATTTTATTTAACAAATGTTCTTTTCTTGGGTTGTTCTTTTGGGCTTTTAGATTAGAATTCTATCTCATGCCAATTTTTTTTTTAACTTGATACATCTTAACTTTTCCCTTTAGGAACATGAGCAACTTAAATAGAAGACAGGGAAGCATATTAATAGGTCCAGATAATACAGGTTTATACACTAATGGAAAGACATTTATAATGTGGAAAATGTCCAATAATTTTTGTTTGTTTGTTTTTTGAGATAGAGTCTCACTCTGTTGCCCTGGGTAGAGTGCAGTGGCATCATCATAGCTCACTGCAACCTCAAACTCCTGGGTTTAAGTGATCCTCTTACCCCAGCCTCCTAAGCAGCTGGGACTACAGGCATGTACCACGATGCCCGGCCTCAATAATACGTTCTTTAAAAATCTGACTTAGAAATCAACTTTTTCCTCAAGCTAACATTTCTTTTACTTCTGTTTAGATTAGTATAAGATATAACCCTCAATCATCCAAAATTAAAAGATCTTTTTAATCTTCCTTGAAATGCTTGAGTTTAATGAAAAAAAAAAAAGCCCTGAGAACTTACTAGTTAGACAGCTAGAAGTAGCTAATAACAGTAAAAGATGTTTAAGAAGAAAGTATATTGGGGTTAAAATTAAGCTACCAGTCATCATTCTGTAGAATCAATGTAGGGTTTATAATTGCAGTGATTAATACCTACACTAAAAAAATCTTAAGGAATTTTAAAAGCTAAATTTTGTATTTCCAGAGGTCACCCTCAGAAATCTGTTTTTAGTACTACTTACCACTACCCAGTGCGGTGTCTTATTTTATCTGTGCAGAGCATATTACCCTACCATAGTCTCACTGAATTCAGTGCCTGGGTTTTTGTAACAAATGGCTGAAAATCGTGTCTTCGTGGATCGGCGAATGCTCAGCTTGGGAATGATCTGGTACCTGGTATGCATGTCTAATAGGAAACACCTGCCAACATCAAGGTCTGGAACATTGATATTTCCTAAATGTGTCCATGAAGCAACATCTTCTCTTAAGGGTATTAGGAGTGAGAGACACTAAAAATAAGTCGAATTATTTTCATGGAAGCATGTTGCTTTCATGTTTTATTAATGTTAGTTGTTCCAGAATTAAAGTTGGATAAGAGGGTGGTGAAGACCACTTCTCAATTCCTGGATGATTTTGATCAGTAACTCAGGCCTTGTAAAGGGGATTAGTGACAGCATTTCTGTAGGAGTAAACTTGATCAGACCAAATTCAAAAAAAGATGGTAAAGGATCCTTTAACCCTCTTTCCTGAGGGTAATTGGCCTGTTTCTGTAAGAGTCTAATTTACCCTCAGCAAGAGGCCAAATTGGCCTTAATCGTGTCCTAATTATTTGCTTAAATAGCTAATCTTTACTTCTAGTTTTCCTATCACTTCTTGAAATCCGTAGGAGGCTACCTCTGAGCTGCTGCCTAATTTACAAACATCTTTTTAACCCTGTAAACGTCCCTGCATGGACTAGTTCTTTGCTATATTATCCCCATTCCTGTGTTCAGCATTTTTCATGAGTTCTGCTGAGGTCTTCTCAACATAAGGAAAATGTTCTTGTGTTATACATCCACACAGCAATTATTGGTCTCCTGCAAAGTGTAGCCATTTGTTTGAAAACATGAAAGCAGGTCTGGCCCCAAAAATGTTGAATACATATCCATTTGGGGAATTTCAAAAGTACCAAAAGTGAAAAAGTTGCCCCTGAAGGAATGAAAAACCCGCATGAGAGAAAAATGCAATGATAAGAGTGCAAATGGGCATGGGAGCGGAGCATCTAGAAGGTGTCTAGAGTTAGTGAGGGAGGACACATGTACCTGGGGCACGCTCTGGAGATTTATATATCTTCTCTGCTGTTGTTCAGTAACTGGTCTTTGCGCCATCTAAATCTTACTAAAAGTCATTCTGTGTCATCAAAACTTTAGAATCCCTGTCAACCTTGGGTATTCCAAGTTATGGGGAAGTTACTTTAATATAAAAGAGAAGGAGGGAAAAGAATTTAGGGAGATGGATTTGGAGGAAAGAGAAAACAAGATAGGATGTTCTAAAATGTTTTTACAACCAACCAAAAGCAGAGAAATGAAACCTTTGCAAAGGAAAATCAAACATTATACCATTCATTCTACCTGACCTCAAGCCTTCTACCCAAGTTAACATTTAATAACAGTGAATTCCTCCCATGGCACCAGGAAAACTCACGTGAGGCTGAGCCCAGTTGCCTACTTCAGGATGTCAGCCAACTTCTCCTCGTAGTATAGGAAGTTCTCCTGAATGTCCTCCCAGGGCTCAAAGGCCTTGGATTCACCCTCTTCTTGCTCTACAAAATTCTGCCAGATATACTCGAAGTCCTGGGGCTTCATGATGCGCAGTTTACAGCCAGCCTCCTTCAGCTTCTTCAGAGCAGCCTGGATCTCCGGCTCCTCCCACATGAAGAGTCGCCCCACCAGAATGAGCAGGCGCAGATTCTTGGTCTTGTTAAGGGTTTTGATAATGCGGTCGGCGCAAGCTGCACAGGGGCTAGAGGACACGTACCAGGTGACATTGTACCGCAGGGCTGGGTCGAAGGCTGGCAGGATGGTGTTGAAGAAGGCTTCTTCTGCATGAGCACCTGCGTGCTCATCCTCTAGGTATCCCCGAGATGCCTGCACTTGGCCTCCCTTGCTCTGCGCTTCAACCACATAGCAGAGGAAGGTCTTGTTCCGCCCGGAACTGTACTCCACATTGCGGAACTGAAACTTAAAGTAGTTGACAGGCAGCCGCTCCCTGGAGGTCAAAGAGACAAAGGGACAGGAGGAAGAGAGAATGATGAGTTCTTATTTCTAGGACTAGCTTAGAGTAGGTAGCTCTTCCAAATCAGTACCTCAGAGACACATTCACTCATACTATAAACAGGCCTTGCCTATGCTAGCATCAGTGACAAAAAGGCATGACAGAATCCAAAAGGGTTTATCTGAAGGAGAGGAGAGAGAATTTGGGGGGTGCATTCTGGTTATCCTGCTGGGAAGGGTCTCCAAACACTATCTCTTCCAGCACAACATACCCCTACATTTCTAAATCAGTGAATCTTTAACATGGATATGGCTTAGAATCACCTGAAGGACTATAAATATGTCAATGCCTGGGCCTCACACCAAACCAATTAAATCAGAACAAACTGGAAAGGGGCCCAGGCATCAATATTTTTTAAAAAGCTTTCCAGATGATTCTAGTAAGTGGCCAACGAAGTATCAAGCATATAAAATTTCTTGTGAAAAGCAAGACAAAGATTTCACAGAGCATTTTATGCTTTCACTTCTTGTAACTCATGCAAATTACATCTTGGGCATGAAATGGCCTAATACTTGCAGTACCATGCTCTCTTAGTGACTGTTTCTCAAGTCTATCTTGCCCTTCAGGTGAAAGGATTGTCACATGGTAAGCATTCAAGAAGTTGTATCTATGAGGCCAAACTACCCAAGGGTACCTTGGGATAATTAAGCTTTTATAAAGTATGGAGTCACTTCAAAATCTTAAAAGACTTGGCTTCTGCCTTCCAGATGCTTATAATCTAGCAGCTAGATTCTAGCTGGACAGAGAAGATATAAATAAAATAGCCAAGAATGTTAGAAGACTGCTAAAAATGGATGGGTAGACTAGAGTATGTATTTTGAAGGTTCTTAAAGGTTTAGCATTGATTTAAGAGGCTGTGGAGAACTGTTACAGGTTCTTGAGTAGAAGAAAAATATAAAAATGATGTCCGTGGAAGATTACTGTGTGGCACTAGGCAGATGGAGCGAAGCTGGGGAAAAGCCTGAAGTTGAAACAGCTCACTAGATGTCCAGGACACTAGACTTGGTGATGAATGGTGTGGGTGGCTTTGAGGAGGAGGGGGATGATTAGGAAATGAAAGCAGTGGGCAAAGGCCAGGTTTTGTGAAACATTTTGTAGTTATAAGGAGAGAAGAAGGAGAGGGGCTAGAGCATCAGAGGTGAAGATTGTTTTTATTTTTAGGTGTATGGGTGTTTTTCTAAAATAGGGAAGATTTGTGCAGGTTTGGAGGCCAAGGAAAATGAGAGGGTTTTAATAGGAGAGATTAAAAATGTAAGAAAGAAGAGGGGATGAGTCCAGCTAGAGAGGTTGAATGGTTTCCTTTTTAAAAATATAATCTCTGTAGCTGCCCCAGAAGATACCTCTGGTACCATTAACTCCACCATTGCCTGTCTCTACGCCTTGTCTTGCCCTACAAAGGTCACCAGACTCCCTGGGCTGCAGGGGAATCCCTGGTATCCCAGGGCCTTGGCTGCTTAGAGATAAGCAGCAGATTGCAAAGATCTGAGTAAACTTATCTCCCTGCAGGATTCCCCCAACCCCTGCCCATCACCAGATTTTCTCCACCAAGTTCCCATGTCTCTTGCTGTCAGGTGACCGTAGAGATGATATGTTTTGAGGACCAGACCCAGGATTCCTTTGGGTACTGTCCTTAGCTCTCCAAGTCCCTTTGTTTCTGGCTGGGGGTGTTTATTGTTTACTTAACATTTTAGGAGAATGGATCCCCTAATGTTTCCCGTCTCCTCTTTCAATCCCTGCTGGGAATTTACTTACACAGTGAACTCTCCCTAATTGCACTCACCCCACCAGACCACTCCTGAACTCCTACCAGTTGCTAAATGGTCTCTTCACTCCCTGGAGTGGCTTTTTGCTCCTGAGAAGCACAGAGCTTACCTTTCTTTCCCAAACCTTTTTTAGTTCTTCAAGACCTTTTGCCATACTACCCACCTCCCCAAGTTCAATCCAGAGCCACCTGTATGGTGGGGGATCCTCACGTGGAACTTTTGGAAGTGTTTGTGACTACTTGGTTAGCTTGGAGGCTTCAGCATTAGCTATCTATGTGGTCCCTCAGGTTTCCTTCTGGAAACCCCAAAAGCATTGCTCCAACTTAGCTAAGTGCAGCCAGTGAAAATGTGAGTCTGGCCCAGCGTGCAGCTGCAAGTTGGCTGGGTAGTTACGAGATGGCGGCTTCTCCCAGCCTCTCTTAAGCTCTGACATTTTCCCCTCCTCTTCCCTAGGCAAGAGGAGAAGACCCATAGAAACCTGAAACTCAAGGGAGAGGAAGAAAGGTCACCTCTATAAATAGCCATTTCCGACCCCTCCAGCCAGCAGCCCAGAGTCTACTCAACAGGGCCTTCTGTATTGGGTGCTTTGGGAGAAGTGTTTTCAAGGGGCGAAGGAAAGGTAGGGAAGGTTTTCGCTCCCAGTGGGGCTTGCTCAGAGACTGTGGGCTGCTTGGTCTTCTAAAAGGAGCAGAAAGGGCAGATGAGGTTCTTTGGGCTTTCCACAGACTAAAATAGTGAGATCCTGGGGGGCAAGAAACCAGGAGAACAAAGGTGGGTAGCAGTCTGAAATTTCTCCAGGAAGCTAGACAACATGGCCATTGGCTGATTTTACAGATTCACAAATTAAGTCAATATTGTTATTAGCCTGCTAGTGGAAGGAAGGAAATAGTGACACCTAACTTCTTAAATAATCACAAACATTATTTTTTCAAATAGCATGATATGCCTAAGTACCATATTTAGTTGTAGCCCTTTACTCTTAACCCCAGTAAATATTTTACTGCTAAAGTTGTGTGTGAGAGAGAGGGAGAGAGAGAATGAGTGAGTGTGTTGGAGTGGTGGTCGGGAGAGAAGTACTAGTAGTAGACTTTTTCCCGTGATCCAATCACTTCTTCTGGCATAGAAACCAACAGCATGATTCCTATTTCCTCCCTCCAGCCTCTGATAGCGCTTCTTTTAGCACCACTTCCTCATACTTTCTGCAAACAAGGCCAGTCACACTTCATCTGCTTAGACCAAGGCTACTAGGCATTGCATATCTCTTGGGAGGAAACGGAGAATCCAAATATCTAGGAAAAATTGGGAAGATGGTCTGCTTGATGGAGGGAGAAGGGATATGAGTGAATATAATACGTATTTTTCTCAGATTCATGTTAAAACATTTGCATTGCCTAAGCATAAATATACTGTGAAAGGAGGCAACCTGGAGGGTAGTAGAAGCTGGTCTAAGATGAAACATTTGCTCCAAAATAATCGATGGACTGGAAAATCTCACAGGTAATTGTGTGTTGACTTATTTCAGCTTTCCCTCACGAGACCTTTCGGCGACCTGCTTGAGAGAGGCAGGATTCTGGTTTTATTGGCCTTCTCCTTTTTCAGACTACTTTCAAAGTGGATGCCAAGGAGTGAGCATAGTCAGAAAGAATAGTATGGAGCAGAAGCAGAGGGTTCTAGCAGCCTGATTTCCTAGAGCTGAGCATGGAGTTCCAGATTATGGGACTGCGTGGGATTTTATCCAAGGCTGTCCCAGAGCCTGCCCCCTTTCCCTGGGAGCCATGGTCTTTAGTCTGAGCTCTGACCTCCCAGCAACCCTCAGTGGAGGCCAGGGTGGCCAGAGTCATGGGGCTGTCTTGTCTTCTTGATGGCACACTGCCCAGCAAGCTCCAGAGTCCAAGGTGAGGGGGAGAGGCTATGGCAATAACAGTGGTGTCAAAGGCCCCTCAGTCCTTGCCTCTCCCTTCTCCTCTGGACCCTGCCTCTTCTCTCTGTGTCCTTACATGGCCAGAGTAAACTACTGGTAGCTAAAGAAGTGGTTGAAAGAGAAATCACCCCATCTGCCATTTATCTCTGTTCTGTAATAATCCCTTTGATAGCAGGTTCTGCTTTCTGCAAAAACATATAAAACATAACCATAGACAAAGACAAACACACATCCCGGTGCTGCCAGGCAGAGCTGCAGTCACTCCTCACTGGGACAGAGAGATGGGGAGAAAACCAACCGCAGTGCCCCGGAGCTCCCCCAGAGTGTGCAGTGTTCAGAGGCAGGCATGAGCCAGGAGAGTTCTTACCTAAGCCTAGCACCGCTGGATCTTCGTGTATCCTTGAGCTGCTCTCCTCAAGAAATCCTCCCCCAGTTCCTTCCCTATCCTGATGTCTGACAGAGAGCCTAACACAGGGGTCCCCAATCTATGGGGAGTTATATAATGATTTTATTGTATATTACAACGTAATAATAATAGAAGTAAAGTGCACAATAAATGTAATGCGTTTGAATCATCCCAAAACCATCCTGCCCATTCCCTGGTCCATGGAAAAATTGTATTCCATGAAAACGGTCCCTAGCGCCAAAAAGGTTGGGGACCACTGGCTAACACACAATAGGTCCTTCTTCATTAGTTCATCCATTTATTCAACAAATATTTATTGAGTACCTATTAGGAGCTAGGTGCTAGGGAGAAAGCAGTAAAAAGTCCAAGTCCTGTCCTCATGGTGGTTAAAGAGGGGAAACAGGCAGTAAATGAACAATTATTCAGTAAATATTTGTGAAAATACAGAGTCTTCTCTGGTTTTTTGGATGCAATGTGGTGATTTGGAGTCAGATAGTCCTGGGGTTCACACCCTATTCCATCTACAAGCTCTGGCCAAATGATTTATCCCTTTGAGGTCTGGTTTCCATATTAGAGTGAGTAATCCAACCTCTCGGATTTTGGACGACAGTAGACATTCAATTAAAGCTAGTATTGGCCTTCTGCAGGCCTCAAATTATGTCCTTTAGAGCTCCTTCTTAAGCATTACCCTTCTAAACTCCTCCCCTCACTTTCAGAGGTTTCTCTTTTTCAGTGGTGTGCTGGTAAGTGTTAAACACCCAGCTCTCTGAAAGAAAGAAAGCAAACAAACAAACCAACCCTGAATTCCATAATGTAAATATTCCCAGTGTGGAGATTTCAAGCTACCGAGGTGACATCACTGGACCCTGAGTCAGTAAGAGATAGCACAATCAACTCTCAAGCCATTAAAAGCTGGTTGCAGCACACTATGGCAATGTTAGACCTTTTCCAGCGCTTGCCACCATGTTATTTTGTTAATGTGCGTAGTTTTGCTTTGTATGCCCTGAGTACCCTATTCAACCAGAATCACTCTGAGCAGGGTATGTCTCTCCTTCCTACCAGGTACTCGCTCCTCACTTCAGACTGTTTCCTGTAAAGCCACCTGCTCTTCTGCTGTCTCCGGCCCAAACACAAAGAGCACTATGGATCCATTCCCTGTGGGAGTCCATGCTAGGAAAGAAACTGCTTTGCTGATCCCTTTGACTCCAGGGCATGTGGAGAGGGAAGGAGAGGAAAGCTGTTCCCTTACCCTGTCCCTGCACAGACATAGCTGTACCTCTGGGCTATTTTAAGCCATGTGTTTACCCTGAGGGGGCCAGGAGACAGATCTCCACAGCTGTTACTTGTAGCCAGGAAACAGGGCTCTGCCTCCACCTGCACTGCTCTCACAGTGCTCAGAGAGCTGCCCCGCTGTGCCTCTATTCTGAGCCTTGAGTCATAGGAAGCCTCTTACTCTTACCACCTTGCAGATGGAGGTACGTGGAACTCTGTTTGGGAAACCTGGGACTCAGAATGAATAAGAGACCAGAGGAAAGGACGCTTGGCAGGAGTCAAAAGGACCTGCCACTTACTGGTTCTGTAGTCTTGGACATATCACTCGGTCTGCCTGAGTCTCAGTTTTCCCATCTGTAAAGTGACAATAATATATCTCCCTCTCCTAGCATTGTGCTGAGGGTTGAATGAGCTCATGCATGTGAAAGTATGTTGTGATTATGAAGCCCTGGAGAAATGTTAAGTTACATCAGAGGACTTAACCCTTCAGGACCCCCAGCCCTGGGACCCCAAAGCATGTTCAGCTCAACAAATACAGTTGAATTCTTGGCCACCTTCCCCTGTGCTAGGGAGATCACAATGCCGCATAGAGTGGAGTGTGTGTGTACACGTGTTTGCGTGACCAAGGATACCAGCATGCTTAGGTGTTGGAAAAGGGATCTCTCTCCATAAGAGAGCCACTGGAATTGTGGACTCTCTTGGCCTGGTTGCCCTAGGCTTTCCCTGTGTCTATATTAATCTGTGCTCAGCTGCTCCTTTAATCCCAGGATGTGAGTGAGATTAGTTGGGTGGGCATGGGCAAACGGAAATTCACATTTTCCGATAGGGTCTCTTAGAAGTCAAAAAATACCTGAGCTGGAAGGGACCTTAGGAATCAACTAGTATAGTTTCCTCATGTTATAAATGATAAACTGAGGCCAAAATGAAAATCACTTGCCAAGCTTAAAATAGCAAGTCCAAATTGCCACCCAGGGCTCCTTTTCCCCCTTGAAGGCATCATGCCTCCATTCTTCCTGAAACTTCTCTTAGTGTGGAGCCCACACTGCACGTGGGCGTTCCTGGAGACCTCACGAAGGAAACCTTGGGCTCAGGGAGGAAATGTGATCCCACGCTCCCTTTTTATTCTTTGCTTAGGAATTTAGCAGGGTTTTCCACTACTGGAATAGAGAGGGAAGAGGAGGAAGACTACTTGATTTTACTCCTGGAGATGCCATAATCTGGTAAGACAGAGGGCCCTGTACACAGCCCCTCTTTGGAGCCTCTAGACCCTTTTCTCTGGGCCCCAGTTCCTCCAGGCTGTGGCTGAGGGTGTTGGAACAGCCCCTCTGTCCACAGCCCCTGTGTTATCTGTGCTGTAGCTTCTCTGTTTCCCTAGAGGTGGATCTGGACAGCCCCTGAGGAGACTCAGAAAAGATTCAATAAGGAAAAAACTGCTTCTTACTCAGCCTTGGGAAAGGATGGATCTGTCTTTCCTGTTTTAGGATCTTCTACTCCAAAAGGAGGCTCTAAAGAAAGGGCTAGACGGAAGTTCAAGGCTGCAGTGAGCTATAATTACGCCATTGCGCTCCAGCCTTAGTGACAGAGCGAGACTCTGTCTCTTTCTAAAAAAAAAAAGAAAGAAAGAAAAAGAGAAAGCAAGGGCTAGAGACATACAGATAGAGGAGAGACCCACTCAGAAGCAAAGAGGGAAATTGAGGGGAGGGGGTGCTTTGACTGGGGCCATATTTAAATGTTCCTGTTTTAGCCTCTGTCCTCATCAAACTCCCTGGGACTAAGTCTCTACCTAGAGAGGCAGGTGACTGCCCCAATATCAGTAGGCCTGAGGGTTTCATTCTCTGGGCTCTTGCCTCCAAGGAGCTCCTCCTACCTCCCCCTGATTAGAGAGTCCCAGATGTCACCCTGAACAGCCACTAGATGTTTGCTGCTGGGTCCCCTGCAGCCCTGCTGTACCCACAGGAGTCATCCCGCTGCTGCAGCATTGTGGCTCCCCCTGGCCCTGGTCGCCAGCCTGTGCTTTCCTAGGGGAGAAGCACGCGGGCCCATACCCAAGGCTCACCCTGTGACGATCTCAAAGGGCGGCAGCTCAATCAGCTCCTTCAGCTTCTCAGGGTCGTCCAGGTTCTCCAGATCCTCCCCATTCTGGGAGGCAGGCGCAGCGGCCGCAGTGGCCTCTTCCTTCTGGGCCATGAGGGGCTGCCGCTCTGGAGTCGCTGAGAGAGGAGAGGTGGCAGATCTGCGCCAGGCCCCGGCGGCAGAATCCCAGGCAGCTGTCAGCAGCTAAATCTGGCTGGGAATGACGGGAAGGGGACCCGGCAGGCCAGGCTGCGTGCTTTCCCCACCTCACTACAGGCTTTATAACCAAGGCCTGCTGCCCCTCCCCCAGGTCCTCTCCCTCTGTCTTTTTTTAATTGAGTGACGGCCGGTGCTGTGGTGGGGGAATGGAAAATCTGGCCGTTAGTATCCCCTATTTATCAGTAGGCAAAGACAGAAAGCTGGCAGGTGGGGGCGGCTTGGCCTGCTCTTTTCCCCTTCTCCCTCCTCTCTCACCTCATATTCTACCCTTTGTTTCCCACCCAACTTTCCTAGCTCCCTTGGGGGAGAGTGTGAGAGGGGCACAGAGCGGACATCCTGAGATTCAGGAGAGAAGCCCTCTCAGAGATTCAAGCAGTTTGGGACGTGTGTTGCAGAGGATAGTTGCAAAGAGACCCAGGCTATTTCCGTTGGGGGATCTTGGGTTCAGGAAAGGAGGGTCCTGGCCAGGTGCAGTGCCTCATACCTATAATCCCAGCACTTTGGGAGGCCAAGGTGGGAGGATCACTTGAGGCCAGGAGTTTGAGACCAGCCTGGGCAATATAGCGAGATCCTGTCTCTACAAAAATAAAAAATAAAAAATTTAGCCGGGCATGGTGGCACATGCCTGTAGTCCCAGCTACTTGGTGGGCTAAGGCAGGAGGATCGCTTGAGCCCAGGAGTTCAACGTTACAGTGAACTATGGTCACACCAGTGCACTCCAGCCTGAGCAACAGAGTGAGATCCTGTCTCTACAAATGACAAGGAGGAAGGGAGGGAGGGTCGGTCCTGAGGAGAGGTGGGATAAAAACTGACAATTCGGGAAGTGTTTGAATTGTGACTCAAAGGGAGTGGATGCAAACGTGCCTGTTACGAAACCATGATGCGATGTCAGATTGCCCAGGAACCTCCACGAGTAACGATAGCTGCCGTTTACTAAGCTCGATTTTTGAAACGGGCCAGGCAGCGAGTTTAGTGGTTTACGTGTGAAATTGGACTTATGCTCTCCACAGCCCCGGGAGGCAATGTTACCCCCATGTTACACAGCGGGGGGTGCTGAGACTCACGAAGGGTTGGGGGCCCTGTCTAAGGTCCTATAGCACATAAGGGACAGAGCCAGGATTAAAACCCAGACACTTTTACACCAGAGGCCAAACATTCAACATCCATGCTATGTGCCCTCATGGCCTTTTATTTCCGTAACAAATATTTATTGAGTATCTCCTGTACGCCAGGTTCTGTATCAGGTACTGGGAATATGGCAAAGAGCATAGCAAATGAAGATCCCTGCCCTCATGGAGCTTGAGAGAGTTAGACAATAAATAAGTAAAATATATGCTCCATTTGGTGTTAGTAAGTGCTAAGGAGAAAAGGCAGGGAAGGGGAACAGGAAGTGTCAAGGGGTGGGTTACATTTTTATAGGGTGGCCAGAGAAGGACTTTGAAAAGGAGACAATTGAGAAAAGACCTGAAAGAGGCAAGGGAACTAGTCATATGGATATCTAAGGGGAAAATGTTCCAGGGTTGGGGGGGAAGCATGTGCAAAGGCCCTGGGACAGGGATATTCTCAGTGTGTTTGAGGAACTAGCAAGGACACCTGTGTGGCTGGATAGTCCTAGGAGATGAGGCCAGAGAGATAACAAGTGCTAAAGAGGCTAGGGACTTATCTGCTGCTATAAGGACCTTGGCTTTTTCTCTGAGTTAGGAAGCCATTGTCTCTGAATAGATGAAACACATGGTCTGACTTCTGTTGTTACAGGAGCACCTGGGAAAGAGCAGAAGCAGTGTACCGGTTGGAAGCTAGAGAAAGATGACTGGGGTCCCTAGAAAAGCCCCAGGGATGGAACAACAGCAGGGTTCCACGATTTTTGCGGCTCACATGATGGGTACTTATCAGGGATCACAAATCTTTGTGTTTGGGGCAATACAACACTCCAGGACATTCTCAGAGAAACGGAAAGAGGGGTCAGGGTCACCTGCAGGTTGAAAATGAGGAACCTAAGAATGTTGGAGAACAAATGGGGTTGGATGGTGGGGACAAGAAGATAGGGTACCCTTTCAAGGGTCTCACTAGAGAAGAGTCAGGATGGTCTGGAGAACTTAGGGCTCCCTCCTCTAGAGAGTTCTGAGCAGCAGAGCTGTTTGTACGATGCTGAACATTTTGGTTTGCCTGGGATGAGCATGGTTTTTCCCTGTTGTGTGGGCATAATTACCACTAGCACACCTTTCACTCCCAAAAGTGTCCCAGTTCAGACAGTAAATTATGTGGTTACCTTGCCTATTAGACTTATTACTAAAAGCATTTCTATCCAGAGATTATTTTCTCATACGCTTTTCCAGGAAAATAAAGCACAGGGTAGAGGTAATGTTGCCTATGTCTGTAATGAAAAGCAGTGATAGTTGATAGCAAAGAATGTTACCATCACACAAACATACAACGTTTCAATGCAAAGAGTTTACTTCATGCTCTTATTTAATTAACATTTATCGGGGGTTTCTATGTGCTGGGTGCTGTAGTAAATACCAAGAATACAGAGACGTAGCCGGGCGTGGTGGCTCACACCTGTAATCCCAGCACTCTGGGAGGCTGAGGCAGGAGGATTGCTTGAGGTCAGAAGTTCAAGACCAGCCTGAGCAAGAATGAGACCCCGTCTCTACTAAAAATAGAAAAAATTAGCTGGGTGTGGTAGCATGCGTCTCTAGTCCCAGCTACTCAGGAGGCTGAGGCAGGAGGATCGCTTGAGCCCAGGAGTTTGAGGTTGTGGTGAGCTGTGACGACACCACTGCATTCTAGCTGGGGCAACAGAGTGAGACTGTGTCAAAAAAAAAAAAAAAAAAAAAAAAATCCAGAGATGAATAAAGTACTGCCTCACCAAGAGCTTGCAGTCCTTATAACATTTAGGGCATTAGTCAGGCACTCAGGCATGCATTATGTCATTTAGTCCTCACACCAGTCTCACATGGGTGTGAATTATTGGCCTCCTTTTGCAAGTCAGGGACCTACAGCTTAGAAAGATGAAGTGATTTGTATCAGATCCCATGAGTTCAGGTCTTCTGAGCCTATGCTCTGTCTTATTTTCAGGGCTGGACCTAGCTACCTCTGATTAAACATCTCTGAAGCATTATAAATGTATATTCCTCTCCTTCTTCCTAGGACCAGCTTACAGTGATGTGCTTGGACCAAATGAGGAAGTGTAGAATGTCTTGGGGAGGAAAGCGAGGAGGACGGATCCTTGCACATTGAGAAAGGCTTCCTCCTAAGGACATGTTCTTATATTGTTTTGGCTTTTATCTATAACCCTGAATTAGAAGGCAAAAAAACATTCCATGTTCACATGCCCATCTCAGCCCCTGATTCACTGTGTGATGTTGGCCAAATCACTTAACTTCTCTGGGCCTCAGTTTCCCCACCTGTGACACAGGCTGAGCTATTGCTCTCTATTCCCAGATGGTCAAAGGGCTGAAAATGAAGAGAGCAGGTTGGGCCTGCAAAGACCACAGGGTGCCGGTGAACAGTGTGGTGAGAATTTCCTGCCTCTCCCAAAGAGTGGAGTTCTGAGTAGATGGTGCACAGGTGGTCCCAGTCTGTTCCTCCCTGAAGAGGGGACTCCTTGCTCCTATCACACTCATAGACAGCTTTCCCTTTGACCTTTGGGAGAATGCCCTGGGCCCACCCCCAGAATGATGACTGACAGCTTCCTTTTTCACTGCTCCTTCCCAGACTTCCCTGAGCCTGCCATCCCTGGAGGCCCTCTGACCTGCTCTGGCTATTTATGGCACCTCCTGGGGGCCTGGTCCCTGGCTCTCCTTTCCAAGTCAGACCAGTATCCCCTGCTGGCCCCAAGTGCAGCAGCTAATCTGGGAGATCAGGTGCCAGGAACCTGACTCCTCCCCCTCCAGCTGCCTCTACACTTTTTAGGGCCAGCATACCCTATCCCCTCTGTTAACCCTATCAGTAGGCCCCTCCTGCACGGGAGGAAACTGGGCAGTGAGGTATTTCGTTCAAGGTCACGGAAGGAGCCAGTGGAGTGCTAGGTTTTGAACCCAGATCTGTTGGCCTTCAAGTTCCCTGCTTTTCCTACTGTGTTCTGCTGCCTGGAATTCAGTAACAAGGAGAGCTGACATTGACACAGCCTCTGCTGCCGGCCTGACATTGGCCTAAGCATGTCATACAACTTAATTCGTTTACTCCTCACAAGGATTTCTGGGACAGGAAGTATTATTCTCATTTTATGGGTGAGGAAATTAGGATCAGAGAGGTTCAGTGACTTGCCCAAGGTGATGCAGCTAGTGAGGACAGAGCCATGCTCTTAACCCCTTCACCGTTCAGTCCCTGCCAGGACCCCTGAGGCCCGGCTCTGAGGGAAGAGGGGAAAGAAAGGGCCGAGCAGAAGCTGAGGAGGCTCAGGAGTTCTTGCAGGGAGAACAGGTCTAGGAAGTAATTGGTCTACGAGAGGGGTGTGTGTGTCGGGAGTACAAGTGTAGATAAACCAGACAGCTGGTGAGTGGGGATAGAAACTGCAAACAGAATTCTCCCAGCCTGTCTCTGCAGGCCTCTGTCCCCTCCTATCGGGGTGGCAGTGACTGGAAGGAGCCGGGTTAGGCCTAGGATATGCTGCAGACTGCCTCCCCTTGTCCCACCTCCCACGGTCATTTCAGAAAACATTCTGAGATTCTAGGAAGTGGCTGAGGAGGAGAGGACAGGGTCAGGCACGTTGGTTGTTCCCTGGGTCTTGGTGGGATGTGAAGCTGCCCTCACTCGGAAGGGAGCAGAGAGGCCAGGAGAGAGCCGGTGGAAAATAGAAGCCTCACCAGAGGAAAGTTTAAATTCTCACTCTGAAAGAAGATACCTCAGGGGCACGTTGATGGAGTGGGTGCTTTACGTGCAGGGACAGCTGGGACCCCAACAGTGCGTTGCCCCAGAGACCCAGCCCAGGCGTGCCTGCCCCTCTGGTCACTACTGAGACAAGGTACACAAACAACAGGCCTCAGGCACCAGACACCCCCCTGGCGGGCGGGAGCTTGTCCTCTCTGGCAACC